ATTCTATATTATTTAAAAGGTACTTCCTAATAATTCTTTCTCTATATACCTCCTATACTATTAATATTTTAATAGGCCTTATACCTATTAAAGTTTTACTATTCTTTACTATTAGTATACTTATATAATTCCCTTAATAATTTTATAATACTATATAAATCTATATAATATTAGTAGTAAGTATTCTAATAAGAAATATTTCTAATAAATATCTTTTAAAAAGATATAAGAGTAATATATAAAAAATATAAGTAAATATAAAATATAATAATAAAAGGTATAGTAATTAGGATAAATAGTTTTTATTAAATATCTTATATTATTATTATTATATTATACTAATTAGACTAGCTAGTCTATCTAGTACCTCTATAGCTTATAAGATAGGGAAAAAACTAGAGTACCTAGAAGAAAAACCTTAGCTCTAGTATAGGTTTAATATAATCCTAAAGTAATTCCTAGTAGGGAGTAGTATACTCCTTATCTTAGTAAAAGATAATAATAATAGGTATAAATATATAAAACTTAGTAGGCTAATAAACTTACCTATTCCCTACTTAACCCCCTTAACCTCCTCCCCTTATAGCCCTATCCTAACCTAGGCTAGGTACTATATATAGTTAAGGTCCCTTCTAGATCCTAATCCTTAAATACTTTAAAGTATAAGTAGGTATAGTAATAGCTATAAAGGCTATAATACCTACCTTTATTATTCTTCTCTTTAGCTTCTATAGTTTATTTTCTATATTATTTATACTAAATAGGTAAGAACCTTACCCCCTATAAGGCCTTACCTATACTAAGACTAGTTAGGATAGCTTTATTACTTTTTTACTTTTATATACTTTTATACCTATTTTTACTTTTTACTTTATAATTACTTTATTTATATCTTTATACCTCTTTAAAGCCTTTAGATTAATATTAGCTTTTATATAGTTTATTATATTTACTATACTAAGTAAAAAAAAAACTATAGCTATATATATTTAATTATTATTATTTTAGCCTATTATCTAGCTAGTTAGCCTATTTATTATAATATTTAAAAAGCCTTAAATTCTTTAATTTTTACTTTTTTTTTTCTTTTTTAATAATATATAATTATATATCTTTTTTACCTTTAATATATATACTATACCCTATTATTACCCTTACCCCTACCTAGGCTAAGCTATTCTTACTTTAGCTACTAAACTATATTAACTTTCCTCTTTACTAGTTTTTTATTATTACTATTATTATACTTATATACTCCCTTCCTTCTTATCTTTATATACCTCTTTAGGCTATATTTAAACTACTTTTAGCCTTATTCTAATATTATTAATATTTCTTAGAAAAATAAAAAATTTTAATTATTACTACTATTACTATTATAGTAAGTTACTTTATCCTTAATATATACCTAGCCTTATCTTATCCTTAACTTTATTAGTTTAATACTATTATTATTACTATTAATAATATAAATAACCTTTACCTATTTATTATTTACCTTTATTTTAGTATTAATCTAGTTAACTATCTTTTTTACCTTTTTATTACTTTATTAAATATCTATATTAGGTTATTACTATAAATAAGCTAGTATTAGTCCTTTATAGCTAATACCTTAAGTATATAGGTAATACTAATACTATTACCTACTTTAAATAGGCTAGTAAGTATCTTAATACTATACTAAGGTAGCCTTTATCTTAATCTAGTCTTAAATTTTAATATATTTATATATACTAAATATATAAAAAATAATAAAGTTTATATACTAATAAGTCTTTTTAATTCTAATTTAAAGCCTAATTAAATTTAATCTTAATTAACCTATTAATAGTTTATTAATAATATTAAGCTTATAGTTATTATTACTTAAAATTAACTCTTAACTTATATTAAAAAAGGCTTAACTTTAAGTCTAAATAATATTAAGTTTAACTACTTAATAGTAACTATTTATTATACTTATAATTAAGCTAATAATATAAATATTAAAAATAATACTTATTATATTTAAAATATAGTTAATTTAGCCTAAGTTATAATTATATTAGCCTTTATTAATTATAATTTAACTTTAATTATAGTTATTTATATTAATATTAAAATATTAATATACTTAGATTAAGCTAAGGCTAAAGTAGTTTACTAGCTAGTTTAATAATAGTATACTTTAGCTAGCCTACTCTAAGTTATTATAGCTACCTTAAAGGCCTAAGAGGTAACTATACCTAAGCCTAGGCTAGATAAGGGCCTAGACTTAGCTACCTTAACTAAAGGGAAGAAGGGTAAGGAGGAGAAGGAGGAGTAAGAAGAGGAAGAGGTAAAAAAGGGTAATACTAGGCCTAGCCTAGGCTATACCTATTTAAAATTATTTTTAGTTTTCTATATATTTTTTAGCCTACTAGAAGTAGTAAAGTTAGGATAGTATTAGGCCTAGCCTAGGCTATACCTATTTTTTTTTTTTAAATCTTCTATTTTATACTTAGGAAAAGGGGTAGAGTTAGGCTAGTACTAGGTCTAGGCTATACTAGGGTAGGAGTAAGCTAATAGCCTAATTTACTAAATTTTAAAATTAAAAGTTAATTACTTTCTATACTTATACTAAACTAATACTAATATATACCTAGTCTATTCCTATCTTACTATATACCTATATTATTACTATACTATACCTAACCTAACCCTAATTTAGTATTAACCTAAGTAAGGTTTAGATATATATTAGTTAACCCTATAAATATAACTACTTAGTAATAGTTACTAAATCCCTTAGGTAGTTTAATACTAATAGTATATCCTACTTATCTTAAAGCTACCTCTTTAATAGCCTAGGCCTAATCTAGTATACTATATAACTTAGTAAGATATAGTAAATATCTTCTAGCCTTTCTTTATAATAGTATAAGCCTAACTTATAATTAAGAATATATTATTTATAAAGAAAGGTATTAAGCTTAATCTTCTTTATATATATTTATATAATAATAGAATTAATATACCTAAGTATAAATAAAAATAAAACTACCTAGGTAAGGTATTAAAGCTATAGTAGCTTATAGGTAAGGTAAACTATAACCTATCTAATATAGTATTATTTAGCTAACTTATCTACCTCCTACTTTACTACTAATATATCTTATAACTACTTATTAAGTATCTTCTAATCCTACTTTAAGGCCTTTTTAAATTTACCTAAAAGGCCTTTATATAGGTTAGCTAATAGTAGTCTTATCTATTATTATAGTTATTACTACCTATATTATTACTATTACCTTAGCCTCTTTACTACTATTAAGACTACTCTAGCTATCTAGGTAGATATATACTAAAGCTAGGCTACTACCCTACTTACCTCCTACTTTATTAATATTTAATACTTCCTAGTTATTAAGTAAAGGTTAATTAAAGGGACCTTTAAAGCTTCTTTAATATAGTAAGTTAAGGTAGCTTTAAACACCCTTATAACTAGTTATAGGTATTATATTTAAAGGTTATATAGGGTTTAGGCTAGGCTTACTACCTTATTTTTCCTTAATATATACTAACTAACTAGACTAAATATTATAATAGGCTTAATACCTTAGAGGTATAGCTCTTATATATTCTTAACCTTAGGCCTTTAGGCTTTCCTAATAGTTATGCTTAGGGCCTAGGCTACTCTTACTACTTAGTTCTTAACTACTTAGAGTTATTTCTTCTACCCTAGGCCTAGTATTAGCTAGACTCTAAGAAGTTAGGTTTCCTATTTTAAGTAAACTAATATATTATTAAGCTAGATTTAAATATCTTATATTAATAAACTAGATTAAATATAAAATATAACTATAATAGAAAAGTTACTTTAAACTTATATACCTTATTTTATTATATACTAATATATACTAACTATATTAAGTTTAGTAAATACTATAGGTTAGTAAATATCCTATATACTATATAGCTATTAAATATATAAGTATAATAATATTAAATACCTATATATTCTAATAGTTTTATATTCCTATATCCTATATATTTTAATATAGCCTATATATTAGTATATTTTATAAAAACTATATATATTAATTAATAAAGTAAAGTATCTTAACTTCTATACTATATTATATATTTTAATTATAATATATTCTTATAGAAATAAAATATATTATAATAAATAAGGGATATCTTACGATTAATATATAATTTTTTTCTAGTATATAAAACACCTATATAGTAAGCCTATGCGTTTCTAGACACACTATATTACACACTGTGTACCGACCTATGTCAGAAAACACCCCCCGCGCGCGTAGGTACCTGTTAGACTTGGCCGTCCAGCACACCCGCCGCGACCTGCTGTGGCTGCCCACTTTGGCTCCACTGCTCCATCGCCTGGAACAGCTTGCCTCTCTGCCAGCCATTTCATCAACGGGCGCCGCTGACATCAAACGCTTTACCTTCAATTTTCTTTTCACCATTTCATCCTCGCGAACATTCTCACCCTCTCATCCAATCGAAACACCATCTTCCCGGCCTGAATCTGCGCGTTGAGTCTGTCTGCGATACTTCCCTCGCCAACACCGTTTGTCCAACTCTCACCACCCGGCCAGCCAACCACGGTTAGCGCACAACCTCGCTACAATCCTTCTCTACGACGATTGCACCAACTCGACTGGAACAATTCGCTCTGCGCAAGCACTCGACTATTCAGCCAGTCGCCATTATTAGTATATCCATATTCTCACGCACACGAAATAGTCTGCCCCAGCTACGTGTAGGCCATCAAGCATTCAAATCAGCGCTCCGTCGTGTAGCCGGCGCGCCATTGAAGCTACAGCTTCCATCCAATCCCCGAGGGTCCAATGCGTTTGGAACAGCCAATCTACAGATGATCACTTAAACTCGCCTATTTCCATCAAAGTATTTGACCCAAGTATAAAGCCCGTCATTCATCTTCTCATCGGCCCCGCCACGACCCCTCGATCCTCCACAACATCTCCAGTGTACCCGATATCGCCAAAATGACACCCACCCCGCCTTCGACAACCTCCTCCACAGGCGCGCGCTCACCAGAAGATGCGTACAAGGTCGTTCGAAAACGAAACCGAGTCCCTCTCAGCTGCTATCCTTGCAGGACACGCAAGCAAGTACTCCCCTGTCCACTTGTTGTCCTGTCCCATGCTAACCTGCAGCAGATTGTAAGCTCCAGCGGCTCATCGACCATATCGCCCCCCTCACTGACTCCATGTAGGAAATGCGACCGAAAACACCCTTGCAGCAACTGTACCAAACGTGAGGGTAATGACACATCATCATGTTCCTACGCAGCCCCCGCCTCGCAGAAAAAGGGCGCCAGCCAAGCCGACCTCAGCCCTGACGACATGCAGAACCGCATTGACCGCTTAGAGAACTTGGTCCTCTCTCTCATGCACACTGGTGGCAGTGATCCGGCGTCAGCCGTCGCAGCAGCGCGCGGCCAGTCAATTTCGCAGACAACTACCAACAGCGGCGCTTCGGCCAAGATGGAACAGGACGACGGAACTAACGCTGGCGACGACGAGAGCGACGACGATGATGGCTTGACCGCTTCTCTTGGGATGCTCAAGGTGGATGCGGACAAGGGCAAGTCAATGTACATTGGCCATGAGCACTGGCATTCGATTCTCGCCGATATATCCGACGTCAAAAACTACTTTACATTGCATCGCAAAGAGCTTGAAACCAGTTACGAGCGCGTCAAGAACTCCAAGCCAGCAGCCGCTCGTGAAGGTCCTACTCTGTTGCTCGGCGCCCAACCTGCTTCCGAGATTGAGCTTCGCACCTCCCTACCACCCAAAACGCACGTTCTGGCCCTGTGCAGTCGATACTTCAACTCAATGGATAACGCCGTTAGCGTCATACATGGGCCGACGTTCCTGGTGCAATTACGAACCCACTGGCAAGACCCCAATAAGACACCGATCATGTGGCTCGGTCTATTATATTCCATTCTCTCTCTTGCGATGCTAAGTTACAACAAAGTCGGCGACGAACCTCCTGAGTGGAGGAATAAAAGTATGGCGTTTGCTGATGAGTACCGCCTACGCACTGTCCAATGTCTCATCAAGGCAGATTATACCAAACCCGTCGACCACACAGTAGAGACGCTTCTCTTATATGTTTTGGGCGAGTACTCGTCTCGTTGGGATGCCGATTTAGGCCTGTGGCTCATTGTCGGCATGATTGCGCGCATCGCCATTCGCCAGGGATACCACCGCGACGCGAAATGGTTTCCCTCGCTCAGTCCATTTCAGGCAGAAATGCGCCGGCGAACATGGGCGCTCATCCGCATGTCCGACATCGTCTTTTCTCACCAGGTCTCGCTGCCTAGCATGATTAACGAGGGAGACTGTGATGCACAACTACCCAACAATCTATTTGACGACGACTTCCACCAGACCATTAAAGAACTCCCGCCATCCCGTCCATCTTCTGAACCGACTCCAATTTCTTACATGATTGCAAAGGCAAAGCTTTGTTTCGAGCTCGGGAGTATTCTGCAAGCTACGAATCATCTCGGCAAGGGAATGCCGTACGATGAAGTTTTGCGATTCGACGCCAAGCTGAGACAGGTCATGCAAGACCTTCCACCTCACTTGAAGCTTGCTTCTTTGCAAGGCTCCAATGACCCGGTGACTCTGATTGTCGCTCGATTCAACGTCAATGTTTTGTACCAGAAGATCATGTGTCTACTCCATCGCCACTACATGGTCCGCGCTAGACAGAATCCGCGATACGCTCACTCGCGCCGCGCCGCAATTGAGGCATCCATGGAAGCTATGGGTCATCTGTCCACCCTACATCGCGAGTCTCAGCCCGGCGGTAAATTGCGCGCCGTCAGCTGGTATGTCAAGTCGATTGCGACCAAAGAGTTTATCCTCCCCGCCATGCTCATCATCCTGGATCTCCATTATGACAACACTGCAATGCAGACCAACACCAGCCAAGATGCAGAAGGCGTCTTTGTATGGGATAATGACAAGCGCGCCAAGATGGTCAGTTCCCTGCAACAAGCCGGCGCCATCTGGTCCAGCCTGGCAGACTCCTCTATGGAGGCGTTCAAGGCATCCAAGGTTCTCGATATTATGATGGACAAGATCCAGACCCCCGTCAGCAGCAGCGAAAACACACCCGAGTCGCGTAACGACTCCATCTCCATGGGAGTACCACCCTTTACCTTTAACATGGACTCACTATCGTCAGATCCTCAGTCTGTCCTCTCCTCGGCAGGCCTGGGAGACCTGGGAGACCTTAGTAGCCCCGGGAGCAACAATGCCTTTTCATCGATGGACACCGGTCCGTTTGTCGGCATGGACTTTGGCCTACCGCCTATCAACATGGACATGTCCATGGATGGCCTGAACCCGCTCAACTCCGCTGGCGGTGCCACGTCGCCGCCGAGCATGTTTACAACAGCGGGCAACGGCCTCGGCGTGGATGGTGGTGCCGCCGACTTTGCCGCTAATTTTGATTGGGTAAGTAGCAGCCTTGGACTCGAACCAACAGTAAAACACGAAACTGACGAGTTATCAGAACACATTTGAGAATTATACACAACTGGCAAATTGGGGTACAGATCAGAGCTTCCAGATTTACGCTGAGCTGCCTGACGAAACCCACAGTATTAACCCCGCCAAGATGTAGTTGTCTCTTCCCCTGGCCTGTTGAGCCAGGATGTACAATTGTATTTTGTTTCTGTGTGTATCATCTTTGGTGTGGCGATGTTGGAATATCTTTTTTGCATTGCGAGGTGTAAGCACTGCTGGCTGAGGTTACGAAAAGGCGGTCTCTGGTTCTTGTTCATATTTCTAGATACACACACGTGAAACATGACGCTCTACTCAATATATTTGCCCGACAGGTTTTTCGACAGCAAGCGCAGATGCAGAAAGTCGATGTTATAGCCTCGTTTTCTTCTTGTTGCATGTAAATTCGAGAGCAGGGATGAAGTAAAGATAGAAAAAAAGACGTAGAGATTTTCTTTGTACATGACCAGCGTACACACAATACAAATAAAAGAAGCAAGGGGGGGGGACAAGGAGCCAACCACGCACGCGCAGCCTCTATGAAGATGAAGCGGCAGTTTCCCAAATTGTGCTTTCCGTTTCTCTTTTCCGTTCTCATAACCATTCCACTTCCTTTCCATGTTTCTTCTTTTCTTACACAAAGAGCACCATGTCTCCTCTTCCATATCTTCTTCAGACATGTTTCTTCTCCATCGAGAAAGCACGCAAACGGTGATGGGTTGTAACAAAAAGTAAAGAGGAGGCCTTCTCCAGACTCTTCAACCTCTTTCCCTTGGCGTACAGCACAACAAGCTTACAGCACCTCGCCGATAATCTTGGCGGCTTCGCGGTACGTCTGCAGGAGCTTCTCGCACTTTTCGCGCTCCTTTTTGATGCCATCGTCCTCGTACAGAAGCTCCTCAAAGAGTGTCTCCTTGTAGAGTTCGCTGACGAGGCGGTTCTGCACCACCTCCTTGCAGTGGTTGACCAGCAGATGCATGACGGCCTTGGGCACCTGGTCGGCAATGGACTCGCGCACAATGTTAAAGTAGGACGAGATGAGCGCGCGAATCAGCTCCGTCTCCATGGCCTCGCGGTCGGTGAGAGCGGGTTCGTTGGACTCGCCCTAAGACGACGTTCGTTAGCAAAAGAAATACTCGTTCCAGGGACGAACTCGCTATTGCTTTGTGAGCGAAGCGAGGAAAAGAGAAAGACTTACAAGGTGGGAAGCAAGACCGTAGCTACGCGACGTAGGGTCGTAGTAGTCGTCATCGCGCAACGTTGGCGCCGGACGAACAACAATCTTTTCTTCGCGACGAAGACTGCTGGAGAAGCTGGGCTCGCTGTGTTGGCGGCCGTTGGGCATACCGGTGGCTGAGTGGAGAGGCGACAGGCCCTCCTTGCCGAAAAAGTAGTTAAGGAACGTATCCTTGGCGCCGCCGAGACCCTGGCCGTTAGGCGAATGCGGCCGGCCGTTGACGGCGGCCGCGAGGCTGTTGTGTCCGTCGTGAAGAGCAGGCGACAGGCTACGTGGGTGCTTATTGTGCTTGAACGCGTCTTTGTCGCCAGTTTCCCCCTCATCAAGGTCGCCGTTGGTACCGATTTCCTTGAGGCGCTTGCGCTCTCTCCTTTCACGCTCGTCTTGGACCAACTTCTTGCGCTCGCGTTCTTGCTTGGCGTTGACGACATTACTCATGGCGGCCGCGGCGCCGAGGAAGTTGGGGTGGTTAGTGTTTATGTAGGCGCGCTGAATAGAGATGAGCGACTCGACGTAGGTGGACGAAGGACCCAGACGCTCACGCAAGAGGTCGGAGACGGTCTCAATCAGCTTGGCTTGTAATCGGGGGAACCTCGAAAGCTCTGTTGAGCCACAGGTGTGACAAATCTTGATAAGCTCCTCATACACCAGCTCAACACAGCGCTGGCTAGGAATCTCAAGGAGCTTGATCTGGGGCTTCACCAACAGATCGAAAGCCATCTCGGGTACAAACAGGCTGGGTCGGGGACCGGTAGAATTTCGAATGGCGGTTCTGATATCAAGGGCGGTGAGGTTTGATGTCGGGTCAATCGATTCCAGGGAGCTGCCAAAAACAGAGTTGAAAATGTAGTAAATGCGGGCACCGCCGCAGAGCTCCTTGGTGGAGATTTCCGTCGAGGTACCATCAATGGAGGAAATGAACGAGGTTGCGAATCGGGTCATGAGCTGCAGGATGAGAGATCCGCGATGTTCTTTTCCACTAAAGTGCATGTCACCGTAGCTAGCGAGCTCCTGCTGAGTCTGCCCCATAAGAGTGTTGAGGCGGGCCTTGATATCTGGCAAACGTTCGCGGATATGCCCCATGAGGGTTGTGTTGAGAGTCCTTGCGAGAAACCGCGTGCCGCATCGGGTGGCAATGTTGCGGTAGGCAGGGTGGTGCTTGAAGAAGTCCGTCTCATCGTTGAGAGCCTCTTCCATGGGCTTGTTGCCCTGGATATCCTGCTGCGAGCGGTTGACAACACCGATGAAGCCCAGTTTCAAAGGGTAGACTCGTCCAGATAGAATATCCAAGGCGTTTGTTCCATGGTCCATCAGGTCAAGCTTGGTGAGAACACCAATGGTTCGGCGGCCGAGGGCATCGACATGGCGGGCGAGCTTGAGAGCTTCGGAGTTGACAATGTCGACATTGGCGGGCGAGACGGCAAGGATGATGCTATTGGGCTTGGCAATGTATTCGGAAATCAGGTTGCGAGTCTGCTTCTCAATGTCGGTAGGTTGATCGCCAATGGGAACCTGCGATACTGGTTAGCGTCTAGACCGGGAGTAAAAGTCTTGCCAGTAGTGCCCTACCTTGGTCAGGCCAGGAAGGTCAACCAGTGTCAAGTTGAGAACATGAGGCGAGTAGATTTTGAGGTTAATGGGCTGCCTGTTGATGCCCTTGTTGGAACCAGCGACGCGAGCTGTTTCGTTTTCAATCTCGCGCTTGACATCGCCAAAGTCGTTGAAACGTCGGTTGGGGATGTGGTGAAATTCAGCCCACTCGGAGCGTCGCGCGGTGGCGGCAGAGCGGAAGCGGTCCTCTAGTTGCTCGGGAGCGTTCTCGTCCTCGGGGACATTGATAAGTTGCAGGATAAGAGGGCGGCGGGTGACAATACCGCTGCCTCGAGGCAGGAAATCTCGGCCGACAATGTTCTCGAGAACAGAGGATTTACCTGCGGATTGGGAGCCGACGACAACCTATGATTTGAAGCGTGGTCAGTAGCTGAAGAATGTTTGGCAGGATTGGCCATGGCAATGAAAGCATACAATTTGTGGAAGATCGAGAGAGTCGCTGCCGATGGTGTTGAAGACGAGGTCTTGCAATTTGTTGACAGTAATGAGCAGGTCCTCGCCGAGGGCTGCCATTGTAGCGGTTGTTGCGGAGGCGCTGGGGCCGGAAAATGATATGCGACGGGTCGTAAGAGGCGTTAGAGTTGAATCATAAGATGGCTGTCGGCCGCGAAGACACAGAGGATGGATTGCGCTTCGGTTCGCGTCGCTCTCGGGAATCGTAGGACTGCTGGCGTAGACTGCGCTTCACGTGTAGCCGTAGCCCTTGCGCTTCCTGGACGGGAGTACGGGAGTGCGCATTGTGTGGCGCGCGCTGTTCGTCCTGGCAAAAGTCCCCACTCACGGGGGCAAAGCCACACCAGCTGGAAGCAAGGCATAAATAGAGGGGCACTATGCCGTTTGGGGCCGTTGAAATGCACGGGTCATAATCTACACATGCCCACGGAGCAAAAGGTACGCCATTCGCGATAAGAGACATGTGAATACCTAGGTAGATATGTAGCTTGGTAACTATCTGGTTCAATAAGCTAGTAGAGTATCACTGGAGTCGTTGAGTTTGAACTTTTACAGTGGGTTGATGCCTCTGCTATTGTATACCGAGCACCAGCCACACTTTTGAGCCACAGTAGAGTGGCGCCACAATTCTAATAGGTGCTTTTTGTCCAGCATGATGCTCATTCCGTCCATCTCATGCAGCTTCTCATATCAAAATCATGAGTACTTTTGGCGCCCCCGGACAGCTGCCCTCGACGAAACCGAGGCCGTACGTTCAATCCATGATCAAATACCGCCGGCATTTCCTCCATACGCTACTCCCATGAGCTAACCTCACCCTGACAGACCACAGCGTGGAAGTTTCCCACTCGATCACGAGGGTAAGTAGCTCTCGCAAAGGCTGAAATTTGCTTCTCAAAACTGCTTCTAATCTTCGCTACTGTAGGCGAATGCAAGTCCGTCATGTCAGAATATCTAGCATGTATGAAGAAGGCTCGAGGCGTCAATGAGCACGAGTGTCGCAACCTGGCCAAGTCTTATCTCTCCTGCAGAATGGATCGGTACGAATGCTTGAGTCAAATGACGATGCATTCGCTTTGCTGACGACAATAGGAATTTAATGGCGAGAGACGAATTCAAGAACTTGGGTTTCGCGGATGCCAAGTCAGCGAATGGCGGCGAAACCGAACAAGGCGTCAAGGGTGAGCTACGATGGTAGCACTGTATAATAACCTGTATATTAATTTCCATTTCTCCTTCATCTTATTTTTCTCTTCGTTTTTCTCTGCCGTGGAGACATGAAACTTGCTGCCTACAATAGTTACATACATACCTAGCCAGATGGTTGCCATGCAGGTGGCACCTCTGAATGAGTCGACCACCTATCGTGTTGCCTAGTCAACCCCACTGCGACAGCAAAATAGTGATTATTACCCGACCTCGCTGCGGTTCGCGATCATCCCAGCCCAACTATCTACATCCGTTCAAATCACTCCTACCCATACGTTTCCCTTTTACCCGTCAGCTTATACTCGTTACGTCTTTGTTTGGCCCAACCAGCTGCGATGTGGACTTCTCGCGAGCCGCGGCCGCGCAAGGTGACGCCTCCGTCACCTACGTACATGAGCAAGGACCAGATGGGTACGCCCGCAGCAAAAAGCGGTGGCTTCCCGACGTGCATTGCTAACCAGTTGCCCCAATTGTAGCCAACTACCTCGCCGACCTGCGTACTAATCGAACGCCGCGACCTGGAGGTGCCCGTCCTCAACCTCAACCTTCGCATCCCATCGAACCCTCACGATCGCTCGCCGGCCGATTTAGCCTTGATGCTTCGTCGTTGCAATCCCAACCTGGCAAAACACCTGATCAAAGCCGTGTACCGGATCAAAATCGCGTACCTTCCCACGCACCGAGCGTCGGCGCTTTCAGCATGTCGTCACGCTATTCCACCATGAGCGCTCGGGGTCGGGACTATTATCCCGACAAGCCTACCGCCGCGGGTCCTCTCAAGCCGTCCGAAGTTGTTCCTACAGCCACCTACATGGAGAGAGGCCAGCGATGGATGGAAAAGGAAGAAGCTTTTTCTCTGCGCGATGCTATGGAGCAAATGAATGTCCGAGACAGCACGGGACGTGAGACCCCAGACGACGAAAGCCGCATATATCAGGCTGCCCTGGATGAAGCAGCGGAGCTGGTTTGGCAGCATCAAAACGGAGGCGGTGAAGCGCCCCGTCCCGATGGCCCTTACCGCTACCGCCCACATCTGAGAAAAGACAGCTACGCTCATGCTCGCACCGCTAGCATCGGTACATACGGCAACGACATTGCTGCTACGGGCATGCGACGTGATCCCGGATACCGCTCTATCAGCAACAGTTCAAACGAGAGCGAACTCAATAGCTCCAGCCTCCGCCAGTCTTTAGATCTGAGCCAGACAACTGTGGGCTCAGCCCATCACAGCAGTCAGCGCCGCAAGACCTACGGTGGGATTGGACTCGGCTCCGTTCCTGGCGGCAAACGCAAGAGCAGCAGGAACCGCAACATCAGTGGAGAGGTCAATAATCCCTTCTCAGCGGACCAGATCTGGGAAGAGCCTGGCACCACGACAAAACGGCCGAGCTCAGACATGGCTTCTTTGCCGCGCCGGACTCTTGGCAGTGTGCCGCAAAGCCCAGCGGGCCAGCGTCTTCCCGCCGCTGTTACGGGGGATACTGTGGCCAAGCTTCGAAACCGCATCGAGATCCATCACAACCCTCCCAGCCAATCTCACAATGGCCTGTACACGACCAATACACGGACTGTTCCGCGACAGGATGATCAGGTGGAACGCAAGAATGGGGTTGAGGTTCGCGGCCAGGATATTCGCGAGGCAACGAGCATGCGGTTAAAAGACCGAAGTCCCAGGCTCCCCGAGCCTACTGCCGTTAGCGACCGTCCGGGGCGACCCATTGTAAGCTTTGATACTAACTGGAAGCCTCCGGGCGACACCACTGATGCCAAATCAGACCGCCAAGCAACCCCGACGGCGACATTCAACAGGAAGCAGCCACAGTCTCTCGCGGGTCGGAAGCTGGTTGATGTACCTTCGATCCTTGTTCCTGGCCAAGGCTCAGCGCCCGTCCAACCGCCCGTCCAACCGCAAGCACGCGCGGAGATCCCTACAATCAGCATAAGTACTGATCGTGGCTCTCCAAGCAGTAGGTCTATCCCGACAGTCAATATCCCTACCATTTCTGTTGATGAGGCCACGCCTGGTGGTCGCATTGTGCCTACCATCAACATTCCGACCATTTCTGTGGGTGGTGACGATGCTTCCACTACCACCATCCCTGTGATTGTCACACCCGACGACGAACCAGCCGCCAGCAAAGCAAGCGGCAGCAAATCGGCCGCCAATTCAAGGGCGCTTCCTTCCCCCGCGTCCCGCAATCTCAAGCAACGTCTGAACCCGAAGCAGCGCAGTCACTGGTCTCCGGCCCCGGACGCCCGGTTCCGAGGCAAGACATTGTGCCACGAGTGTTCGTTTCCGATTGAGGGGAGATTTGTCGCTCTCGCCGGCATCTCCGAGCGCTTCCATCCGCAGTGCTTCACCTGTTTTTCGTGTAACATTACTTTAGAAGCCATGGAGATTAGCCCCGAGCCAGAAGTGGCGCGAAACGCACGTCTGGAGCGTATTAAGCGCCGACAAGCGGGTGAGGACATTGACGAGGTGCCCGGCGAGACCGAGGAAGAAGACGGCGACGAGCGCCTACGTTTCTACTGCCACCTCGACTGGCACGAGCAGTTTGCGCCGCGCTGCAAGCACTGCGAAACGCCAATCATCGGGGAGCACATTGTCGCCCTCGGTGCGCACTGGCACTATGGGCACTTTTTCTGCGCTGAATGTGGTGATCCCTTTGAGCACGGCATGACGCACATTGAAAAGGATGGCTACGCGTGGTGCATCAAGTGCCAGACGCAACGCACCGAGCGCCGCGCGCCCAAGTGCAAGCGCTGCAAAAAGGGTGTCGTGGGCCAGTACATTCAGGCCCTGGGCGGCGAGTGGCACGACGAGTGCTTTCGCTGCGCCGAGTGCAAGGGAAGTTTTGACGACGGGCAAGTTTTTCCCCGCGATGACGGCAGCATCCTGTGTACGAGCTGTCGTATGATTGAGCTGAAACGATGATTTGATGAACGAACGCCTCCGCTCTTGAACGATCAGGATTGCTACTTGATATGATGATGCTCCAACTATGTACTTTGCATAAGTTGATACGATTGTTATTTGACTGGATTGATTATGGATACTATGATTGCAATTTGTTTATGGTTGAGTTGTTACCTTTGGGTGTTGGTTTACGCGCTTGGTTTTGGTTTTAGATTGCATACGTTATTTATTTGCGCGTGGAGTTTCGTTGATATTGCAATGCGAGCTCATTAATTGGTTTTTTGTGCATAAGCTGTTGGTATAAGTAAAGCCATGGTGTATTAGATGTGACTTTGTCTATCTTGTTGTCCAAATGGCCTCCGGAGTCGCGATAACGAAAGTAGAACAAGAGTAGCAAGCAGCGGACCGCAGCCGGGGCAAGACATGTGTAACCTTGCGTGACGAAACACGTGATTTTTTCTTGTACCAGTGGGCGCTCTTCTACAAAAGCAAGCAAAGGAAGCGATAAAAAGACTAGAAAAGCAGTGCAGACATGGTGGTCCGAGGTTGGTTGCAAGGGCCGTTTCTCCCAAACGCCGCATAGTTATAGTAACGTCATTTCATACATTTTTTTTGGTTGTGTTTTTTTTGTCTTCGTTGCGTGCAAAGAGGCAAACGTGCAAGAGGATGAGCTGAGGAGGGAATCACCCTCCATGTCTAGAAGGGACCGCCGCCAACCTGCTCCTGATGAACCTCGAGCGTGTCGCCGTCCGCCATTTCGAGCTGCGAGCGAAGAGTTAGTCAAGGTTCACGCTGGGGGGCTCGGGTGCGTCAACTGGTGAGTTGAGACAAGTCACTGCTAAAACAAGAACAGAGACAAACACTGGGGGGGGCAAAACGTACATTGTCAGGCGTGTCGGTAGGCTGGACTCGCGTGCCATCGAATAGGAATCGCACCGCCGTCATGGACCTGCCCTGGCGTTCACAAAACGCGGTCATCAACTTTTCCAGCTTTGTGGTGCGCTTGATCTTGAAAAAGACCTCGTTGTTGTTGTCTGTGACCTTGATGTTCAGATGCTCCGAACCGGCAGGAGGGGCATCGCTGGGAAGACCGCCATTATCGTCAGACATGATGTAGGTTGTTGTTTTCTTGAATTTCGGTGTTAATCAAGGGTTGTTTGCGCGATGCGTCGGGGGCCGCGTTGGTGTTTATGGAGAAAGCTGCGAAGGGTGGAAAGTCGACGAGTTGCAAAGCGGGAAAAAGAAGTCACGGACAAGTTCTTTGGGCTGGGGCGTTCGTCGTCGTTTGGCTCTGCTTGGCGGCGGCGGGCGGGCGGCGACGAGAGACACGACAGCCAAAGAAGGTAGGGTGGGGAAGCGCGTGTCTCATTGGCTGGAAAGGGCGCAAGCCGCTGCACTGATGACTAACAGGGGGGCGAATGTGCTGGAAGAGGGAATGCGCTGGCACAGAAGATATGCACGTCAGTGGTGGGCCACCGTGAGGCGTGGGTTTTTTTCTAGCACCCGCGTTGGATGCCACAGCGGTGTTTAGCGCTGTGACGATATGGGACATGCACGAGTCTTGGTGATACCGTGAATTGCTGGGGTTAAAGGCTTGCGCTGGGCGACTTCACTTGTTGCTGACTCTAATTATCTAAAGTTTACTTCTCTCCAACGGTCATTTTAATGCAATTATTGAATGTTCGAGGACAATATAGCCGTGCTTCGCTTCAAGGCCATGTAACTTGCAGTGGAGTACCACGTCGTTTGTCGCCTTCTGAGGTCGTCCAATGACTTCTGTACCTATTTATCCACCACGGCTTATATTCCGTTTCATCAGCGGCAACCACATCAGTTCGTACCAATATCAACAGGTGACGGGTACATATTCTGCGTATTAAGACTTTCGTCAACTTCTTGGTCTATCGCAGACGGCACCCATAATGGTTCGTCTAGTTACATAACAGACAGCTAGTCAGGGCTAACTACCCATTGCAGGTTGGCAAAGACGACGTTGAGGCAAAGCCGCCGTGCCATCCTCGTGCAGTAAGTATTTTCCCTGGACGCACGCACTACCTAGTAGCTAAACGCTGACCTTTGCAGTGTGCAATCCAAGGTAGTTACAGTGACCCTATGGGAGTGAGCTTCCGCTCACGCATCTAGACTGCTTGACCAAGAACAATTACAACGAGGCTAGGTGCCAGGATGTCATCAAGGCTCTCTACACCTGTTGCGAGTCCTTTTACAAACGACACGGTGATAGCGCGTCGTCTCCCAGCTGTCCCAAGCCCAGTCTGCTCCGGCTCAAGATGAAGCAGCTAAACGGTGCGAAGTGAAGAGGGGTAGTTTGCGGTTGTTCTATAAGTCAATTTGTATTATATTTGTTTCTGTCGTGTCCAAAACCATGAATTAAAAAGGTCAAACTCTGGTATGTGACGCACACCTTCGCATGTCCACCGGCAGGAAATGTCGGTAACGTTGTGATGGGCGCCTGGGGTTTCCTCTAGGCGATCATTGAGCACGCTGGAGATCCTCATGGGACCTGAACAAGAATTGAAAGTCCTGTTCCGAGACTCTAAGATGAATGCCTTGACATTATGTGAAGAAGAAGAGAGAAAAGCCCACAGCGCTGGTGCAAAAATTGCGGCACCCAAGTAGACATTGGTGCTCGCTTTGTTGCATATTGCTGTAACGGGTCCTTACCCTGAAGTGATTTGAGGTGAGCATACTCGCCTGTTGGCAGGCACATGACGTGTTTTTAGTCAAGAAAGCATGGTCAGTGATTAAGTCTTGTGTTTCTTATCGTAATAGTTCCCTTTTTAGCCCGCATCTGAGCTGTTGTTGTCCGTTCGTATGAAAGTTGCATTGTTGAGGCTACTGTTATACTACGAAATTATAGCATCAGCTTTCAGTGTTGTTGAAAAGACTCCAAGCAAGATCGACGCCAATCAGCACAGCGAGGAGAGAAAGAAACGCGCGAAAGACAAAAGTCGAAAGTCGAAATAACAAATCATGACCATAAAGGCCGATACAATTAGGCTTAACATGTAGCTTCACCAAAATGGTAACGTAAGAGCCTCCTTTCGTGCCACTGCGCGCGTAGCTGCTGGACCCACCACCGCCAAAGTGGCTGCGCGCCCAAAAGATTGCCTGCAATAGAGCAACAAATAAGCTCCAGACGGCTTCGATTCGCCAACAAACAACCACATTTGCGAGCATATCGAGCGACGACTCACCATCACCAATAGACCAATAGACTAAAGGCTTGTAATTAGCGCCCTATAGGTGCGATTTTATCCATTCCAACGATATTTTCTCCGCGTCCCCGCGAACGAGCAAGCTTTAACGAGCTCTGCACAGCCGGCCCCAGGGCCACCAGCAACATCGTGCTGGCCCAACGACGACGCGTTACTGTACGGCGAATTGGGAAACAGCTTTGATATACAACGACGGACTGGGAAAGGAAGATGGACCGACACACGGGCCCCGTCGAGGCAGGGTCAGAAGTCGAAGAATTCGCCAACGCGCTCGACGAATGCCTATCACCATACCTCGCGCCATCAGAGAAGAAAGAACGATTACTTGATCTTCCACGACGATACTACGAAAATTCTCTCCGGCGACTAGCGAAAAGCAGGCCAAAACGCGTCGGCGGTAGCCACGATGACGCCGACATGGACATCGACGAGGCCGACGAAGCTGGCTTTGCTCTCAGTGCCGAAGAGATAAAGCGCATAGAGGGAGAGGTTCAGACGTGGGATCTCATTCGACGCCTGGTGCCTCTCCGACATGCTGCCGCAAGAGCAAACCCCTTTGATGAAGGACAACGTAACCACGACTCGGGAGACTTGTTGCAAGACTTTTTGCGATGTAACCCAGTCGCGCAAGAGCGCCATGCTGTTCTGCAATGGCTGCAGACGAATGCCGCCGGCGGCGTAGACATCGATACCATGGTAGAGGACCTGCAAAGGAATGCCGACCGGGGAGATGTCATCGCCCATGGCTGGCTACACACTCGATCCAAGATCAAGCTGCGGAAGAGCATGACTGGCTGGCCGCACCTTCTCGAACGCCAAACACCCAGCATCGCTGAATCGCACCTAAACTCGGATGGCGCGCCTCTCGTCACAAATCTTGACCCCGATGCTGTGACTCGCCAAGACCGAAAGTTGGAACCCCAGGACGAGTACTTTGAACGCGCAATTTGGCTAGGCTGCTTCGAACACCTACGACGAGGAAGCGCCTTGGAGGAGATCCGTGATTGGTGCCAGGAACGGACAGAAATGTGGCGAGCTATCTCCATGTCTGCCGTTCTCTTCACCTGGGATGCGAAACCGGAGAAAGTTGACGCAGCCCCGGAATCTCTAGCGCTGTGGCGTCGCATGTGCTATGCCCTCGCCCGCAACCGTGGTTCTGACGAGCACGAGCGTGCCGTCTACGGCATTCTCTCCGGTGACATCAGCAGTGTCGAAAGTGTGGCCAAGAAATGGGACGACTATCTTTTTGCGCACTACAATGCGTTGCTACGAACCCAGTTGGACAACTTCATTCTCGGCAAGTGCCCGCCAGATATGGCCTCCAACCTAACACAGTCCTTCTCGGTGTTTGATGCCTTGCAGTTCCACGGAAATGAAGCGGTCGAGAAGAGACTGATGAGGTTACTGGAATTAAAGCCTGCCATCAAGGACGAGGCCCAGCAGCCCATCAAGGCCCTCCAGGCATCCTTCATCGCGAACGATACGGCTCACCACTTGTTCGAGCAGGGTCTGCTGATTGAGCTGAGCAACCCCACGAGAAGTTTTGCAGCAGCCATGGTTGGCGATGAGCTCGCCGAGCATAAATACTTTCCTCTGGAGCAGAATGATGGTCTTCGAATTGTCACACATGTCTATATCCTTCAATTCCTTCTTGAGCAACAAGATGCCGAGGATCATCTGCAAACAGAGAAACAGCCGCAAAATTGGCGCTTCACGCAAGAGTGCATTATCGGAGCTTACGCTGAGTATCTGCGTCGGGCTAGCCTGCAAGAGCTTATCCCTCTTTACTGCTCCATTGTGGAAGCCCCTCGATCCTACAAAATGCTCTCAAAGAGTCTTATTCACGAGGACGAGCACAACCAGCGCCTAATACAGCTCAAGCTCGTCAAGAAGGCTGGTATCGACGTTCTACAATTTGTCGAGGAGCAAGCCAATCTCATGTATTATGAACTCACCATCGACGCCGAGCTGGTACACCGGCCGCCACCTGAGATTCACTTTAGAATTGTTGACCCGAGCCGCCCGACACTACGCCAAGGGCGCGCGATTAAGCCCGATTTCTTTGGCGAAGAAGAGGACGCCATCGATATCAAGGACGAGCACCTCATCCGGTCCATCGAATGGTTGGCCCTCGTTCACGAGAAGTGGCCCAAGGTCTTTTCCATGGGCACGAAAGCCTATAAATATTTCCTGAGTAAGGCGCCCAATTCGTGTGCCTCAAACAGCTTCGCTAACATTGACAGCACACATGCATCTCAACGCTGCGAGAGAGCTTATGAAGCGCGTCCCGTTTGGCGACATGGTCCGCCGGATAATGGAACAGGACGAGTCGGAGGCGCCGCATATTGACGATATCCGATTCTGGGAGGACCAGCTGGAAAGAAGCAGCATTATTGACGAGAAGCCAGAGCAGGTCATGTCCGATGCCCGCAACTTTCGCGACCTAGAGGCTATTGTTGTAGCGCTAGACAGCCTGGAGACGATAGCATCGTTGGTCATTCTCTCAGCAGAGTACGTCAACTCGTGTACAAAAGCACGATGCCGCTTTCTAACATTTTTGCAGGATGCCTACCACAAACCGCAAATTCTGGGGTGGTGTTGGCGATGGCATTAAAGCGGCGAAAGAAAACATGCAACCACTTTTGAAGGGCTGGCTCGTTGCTAGCATCGCAGGTGAGAACTCTACCTTGTTGGAGGGGGTAACTATGTGGACTGACGATTCAACAGAAGGCGACGAGGAACTGAGGAAAATCCGCCGCGAGTATCTCCCCGAAACGATTCTTGCCTACGTCAGCGCGCTGCACTTTGCGGGTACAGGCCTCTCCCGCGACAACCTGCTGGAGAGCATGGAGCTGGCGACGGTGGTAGCCGAGCGCAGTTCCGACCTGACGTCGGTCTTTTCGGCGACGAAGCGCATGACGGAGCTGGTCGAGGCGCTGGCGGCGTGCAGCAAAGCGCTGGCCGTTGCCACGAGCGAGAAGCGGACCACCAGCGTCGGCAGCAAGAAACTGCGGGAGATGGGGTGGTCGCGGGACATTTGGTCGGTCAAGTCGTAGCTTAGTCCTCGCTGAGCTTGCGCGCTTCTATTGACATGGTTCATTACGGAGGGCAACGGGAAAAACAGAGGACATGCCTGGGTCGAGAATGTACAAAAGGATACTGGATATGAAATTTCTTGCACAATGCCAAAAAAGGCTCTGTGGGCTCATGTATTTTTTTTAATCTGTATGGGTTGTCCCTTCACATATAGATATGCTGAATAAATGAAAATGCTTTCTAGTTTGGCGGTGGTAGTCAGTGTGTAGCAATCCTCACATTCTCTGTGATAAATGCCTGTCGTCGTACAACGTCACTTTGGCCCGGCAGCCCCACGCGCGCCAAGACCGCCGCCACGCCGACCTTCCAACGTCCGGCCTCAACTTCACCTCTACATGCCAACATTCATCACTGTACAAGCCGCCATTTCTTCTTCACCAAACTCACCAATATACCGCATCCACCAAGCTTCCAAGAGCACAGCCACGCACAGACATGTCCGGATACCACCCGGATCAGGGCGCCACGCCGCCCGCGCCGCCGCCCAAGCCAGACAGCCACGAGGCGAGCCGCATGGCGACGCCCAGCACGAGCGGCTCCGTGCCGCCGCCGCCTCCGCCGCAGCAGTATCCGGGGTACGCCGGGTACGCCGCGCACGAGCCGTCGCAGCTGCAGCAGACGCAGACGGCAGACGCAGACGGGGCCGTGCCGCCGCAGCTGGATGTGCCGCAGCCGATGCCCGACCCTGGGGAAGGCTGGCTGCCAGAGACGCTCCAAGACAAATCGTGCGTGACTTTCCACCCTCCAGACCCCTCTGGACAAGACTGACCGTGAGGCCACCCCCCCCCGCAGAATTCAAGACCTGGCCGCGCTGCTCGCCAGCCCCAGCCTGCTGCAAGCGCTCACGCACGCGCCGGCCGCCGCGCACCCCTCGCTGACCGCCTCCCACGCGGCGCTGTGCTCGGCGCTGTCGTCCAACGCCGCGCTCGCGACGAGTCTGAGCGTGCAGGGCGCGCGCCTGGCGGGCGCGCGGTCGGCGACGCAGGCGCAGCTGCTGTCGACGCACGCGCTGGAGCGGCAGTGGCGCCAGCGGCAGTCGGATATGGACCACGCGCTGGCGCCGTTCTCGCCGGCCGCGCTGTACCAGGCGCTCGCGCACGGGGTCCAGGAGCAGGCGCAGGTGTGCCAGGCCATGGAGGACAGCTTCTTGGATGGAGGGCGTGGAGACAGCGGGAGTGGTGGCGCGGAGCTGTTGACGGAGAGGGAGGTGGCAGAGTGGGTCAAGGGGTATAGAGAGGCCAAGGTGCTGTATTATCAGAGGCAGGAGAGAAAGGAGAGGTGGGATGAGGGACGGGTGGGAGGATGGCGATGAGTTTGGTAGATGGCGGCGTCGTCCTGTCGAGGATACGAGGAGTGGGAAGAGCGAATGCTAACGCGGAAATGGCATGACCTATACTTTGCAACGGGCGGCAAGACATGCTAGTAACCGCTCAAATGTGTGTACATATTATGACAGCGGCATCTATGTTCTTATATTCAATACCCAGGGAATCACTACAACAACTTTACACCTTTGTTCTCGGTCCACACCTCGTATTTTCCTGCTTCCACCCATCGTCGAATTCTCGTTCACGCGTGGCCTACACCATACACCGTATCTATCAAACGTTTCTTTCATCCTCGCGAGCGAGAGACGCGTGCTCCGTTATCCAAAGCAAAGAGATAGGCGCGATGTAGAAGCTCTGTCACAGACGTGGAGAGCTGGGGAAAAACAACGCTGTTCATCATCATTATGTGTTGAGCCGTTACTGTGGCATATCGCCGTTGTCGCTCTTTTTGCTGGCAAGACTAGAAAACACCAAAGGGGCTTCTCTTCATATCTGGACTGCGCGGGCTGATGGGCAAGGCAAACAGGTCGTCTTCCGTATCTCCCTGGTGGCTTTTGGGGGTAGTAAAGTCGCCTCGGGCAGCCGCATTGAGTGATAGGGGAAAGGAAGGAACAGCAATATCATTCCCGTCAGGGGAAAGAGTGAGCGAGGGAGCAGTCGATCCCATAAACGTGTTGGCTGCTAGGTGTTAGTTGAGTAGCGTTCATCAATATATGTAGAATTGGCTTACCCGTTGAACTGGGTAGTAAGTCGCCTGGTGATGTTGCTAAGCGCAATCCTTTGAGTTTGTCGCCGAGTCGGCCAGTGATGGGAGATATAGGTGAGAGAGGTAGGGTCATGATTGGGGTTGGCTTCGTCAAAAAAGTCTCGATGATCCATTGCTTTTCGGCATAGGCCATCTGAAGCCCGATGCTCTCGGAGTTGGTCATCATCTCGGCGTCCATTTCACTATCCAACTCGCGCAGACGCTTCTTTGCCCACAGTGTGTGAAGCACACCGCGTGAGCCAGACTCGGCATCAAAGCCCGGCGGAAATATGGCAGGCAGTGGCTTCAGCACCAAGCTGGACTGGCCGCGGCGAGCGATGGTGACAGTTGGCGGCACAGGAACATCCTCGGGCAAGAGAAAGTACACCCGACGCTTGCTGCCGTCTTGATCTGCGTCGCGTGCAGGCAGCAAAGTAGACTTACCCGGCCATGACACCTCCCAGCCGGCATGTGTGTCGGGGCCCGGGGCATCGCGTGGCTGCTCAAAATTAGAGTTCACGGGCCTGTAGTCGGGATGCGGCGCCGGGGCAGTGGTGGAGTCGACGTTGAGAACTTCCGGGAGCTCTGTTTCGGGCTGCCACTCGACCATGAGAACCTTTGTTCCCTCATCACTGAACTCAAAGCGTGCCAAGTGAGCGGTAGCGATGGCCGGTGCATGACACGACTCGGCGGCATCAGACCGAGGAGCGACCGACGCCGGATCCATGACCACGACAACTGCAACCGCTGCGGGATGGCGGGGGGTGAGGAGCTCCAGGCTCGTGGGGGGTGAGCAACGACGGGCGCAGGGTTCAGGGTCAGATTGAGTAAAAATAGGATTCGCGGTAGGAGAAGGAGTAGTCGTATGCGGCCAGGGTTGTACTCGGGTAGTGCTTGGCTAAAGAGAGTGTGCGAGGTGCGCATAAATTCAGGAGTACTGCGTGATGCTGAACCGCGGGGAACTTTTGGTTAGAGGGCACAGCAGGGTGACGGTTCCACAAGCACAGCGGCCCGAAAGGAAGGGAGACAGAAGGAGCGCGCGGGTGTGTAATTTGTAGAGCGGCCGCAAAAGCAATAATAGCGAAGCGAAGTGAAGGCGTTGCAGCGGCAGCGGTGGTGGGACGGAGTGCGCCGTAGGCTGGTATGTATCAACAGTGCCTCTTGCTGGAGAAGGTTCGCGGCGGGAAGTGCTCGGCTGCCAAATTAAGGGCTGACAGGACGGATCGGCGGCGCGCGGAGGCTCCCATGGGTGGTGGAGAGATTACGAGAGGGGGAGGCGTTCGACGGGATGATGTGATTGGGGAGGGTCGGATACGGGCCAAGCGTTTGACAAGACAATGTGCGTGTTGGTTGAAGGGATTCGAAGAAACTGCCGAGGCAGAGTGGCGTGATGATGCATTCACAGGAAAGGACGGAGCTGTGTGTGAGTAGATATACGAGTGCCAAGTATTGGCGATGCAGTATGAAGCCGAGCAGCAGATCGAGGGCCGTTGAAGTCGCGACTGTCGAACAAGGTGGGCTGCCGGCACCAGCTGTCAAGTGCCAGCTGCCAGCTGCCAGGTAAGAAAGAACGGCTATCTGCACGTCTGTTTGCACTGCAGCAGACTAGCACAACCACAAATATTCCTCCTGGATACTCCATCACAACCTCCTTCACCATCCTTGACTAGTATAACCCCCACGATACCTCGCGGCCCTGCTATTAATATTAATAATTTACACCAAACGCTGCTCCCGCCACCGTCCACAACGTACTGATACTCCACCCCACACCAGCGGAATCGGTTGAGCATCGTTGTCCACCTCGATTATCGGACACTTGGGTCGCCAGCGGACAGCGTACAACGAATAATGGAAAATCATCTAACTAGGTAGTCATCAAATTATTGTCCGTTTCGGTTCGAAAACCCACTTACCGAGACAAACAAAGCTAGGACCATTTCTTTTGTCTCAGCTCACAAACCCCGCGTGGGCTCTCCATACGTTGCTCCTTTTTCAGTCGCTGGGCCGCAGCACCCGGCCTGTCCAGTCCAGGCAACCAGGCTCGAGGCTTGATGGCCACGACCAATCAAGCACCCCTCAATACCGCCGCGAATATCCCCATGCGGCCCCCAGATCGAGCCCAGCAGCAAAACCAATTCGGGCCGGACGACTTGACGACTCAGACAAGGGCTATACCAACGACATGCGCCAAGGAGCCCTCGTTTGACCGAGTCCGCCCAACAAGTTAAATCGTTGCACAAACCACTGACAATCGCCCCGTGACAAGAATACAATATCGTTGTGGCCATCGACTTGCCTAGTCACTAGTCCCCACTCCACAGATTTTGCTTGTCCCATTCTATTCTCGTCCCTTTGTTAACCGAGCCTTGTTGCCCTGCATGCCCCAAAGAGGCGCCGCCTTTCGCCCATTACCCCAGCTTTAGCCGACGGCGAAGTTGTCAGGAATTGACGAATTCGGGACGCCATTGCGGCTCATTACGTACTGAACAATGGCCACGCACCACAACTTTCATGACGCTTGCCTTGCCCGCGGTGCAACTTTTTGATCTGGGGCTTCACGATGCCAAACAGTGCAGTGATGAAATTGGCGTGCAAGACTTTGACCAGTCCTGCAGACCAAATAATGGCAAGGAAAGAGCGGAGCATCCTGCTGTTCATGCCACCATCCCCCGTTGCCATCCCCGATATCAAAACCATCAGCTATTCCATTGGAGTTTTGCTTTGTGGTTGATATCAATGCAACCATAACTAAAACCTAAAGACAAGTTGCAATATGAAACACTGAGTTTAATTACGTATCTGTACCACGACCGGCCCTCTTCGCGACCCTGGCGGTGAACAGACCAACAAATGCATGTAACCCTAGGTTCCGAGTAGGTGGTTGTGTACCTGGCCTTGACAAGTAGAGTAGATTTCATTAGTCAAGTAAGGGAATGGCCGATGTTATCAATATCGTTCACAGTTCTATTTGTATCGCCAAGCGTGTATGTAGCACCGGCAATATCATGAGATGTCACCGAGCGGATGGAGGCCAGCCCTGTACAAGCATCAGTTTGTTTCCTGACCTCGATTTCAATGTCATGATACAAAATGGCGACTGCATTTCGTGAGCGTTACATTGGGCCGAGACCTCGTACGAATTGACTTTCAGTAGTAAAAGGCTAGTTATAGGCTGCAAAGCACTAGCTGCCTTCATGGTATCATCATACGGTAATATCATTATTAGAGATGGCAAATAAGACTACTAAAGGCATTAGCACCAAGGACAACGAAAAACGTTATAGCTTGAACCTCCAATGATATGATCTCCAGATACCAAGGGTACAGCTTCATGCATACGGGGGTTCATCTGCGGTATGCAGATGAGCTACATTGAAAGGGAAGTCGGCGTAACTGGACAACGCAGCTAAAAAAGCACACGGGCAAGAGTGAATACACATTATTCTAATGTACCTCTGCTTCTTGCGTCTTTCATTACCTAGTTGGATGCGCGTAACTAGGTGCGGAGAGGAGACCGCTAATCTACAAGACGGCGATTATGTACCTGAAAGTATAGGGAATAAGAGAGGGACAAGAGGCGGTCTAACTAGATCCCGAGGTGGACAAGAATTGCAAGGTCATGCAATTCTCCGGCAACGGGCGAGTGGCAGGCGTGAAAAAGGTCTTGCTGCTGTCTTGTCTCAAGAGTTGTGTTCACCTTTGCCCGCGCGCTGTGACAGGAATGCGGCCGAGGGCAGTGCATGTTGTCCGGCCAAGAGGTGATGATTGGGAATGGAACCTTTTACGCTTTTCTTTCCCCGAATTGGCGCAATGGTACTAATTGTACTGAGACAAGCTATTATTGTTTCGGAAACAAAATATGTCAAGGTGTGAATTTTTACTCTGTCTTGAATGAGCGGAGTCGACGGAAGGGGAGCCGGCACTCGTGACGTGGATAAATTCTCAAAGTATAGGTTCGCGCCGATCTCGAGCCTAACAAAAGCAAATTGTCGAATAGGAGTCGGGAAAAGGAGGCCCGGCACTCAGCCAACGTTTATTACGCTAGATAGAATCGAGATTTTGTTGGTGTCAAAGTAAAAAAAAGGGAGAGACTTGGAGAAGCAATGCGCAGTCGTCATCTGGGACTTACCTCGGTCGCGACGGTCAAAGGCAATGTCGAGCGCCATCTCGACTGCATAAGGAGAAGGTGACAACGCGGTGTGCACGAAAAGTTCCGAAACAGTGAAACAGTCGACAGTGCCACATCGGAAGATGCAGCTTGAACTTGGGAGTAAGCAAACGCCAGCGTACGTAGATAGTTACATGCCCTGCCGACGGTACCGTGATGGTGGTGGTGTGGGGAGACAAACGCGTGCTAAGTTTTAGTTATTAGGAGCTCTCGTAATGGCAAGAAAGACGGTAGTTACTTGTCTGAGCCAAGAAAAGTGTCTCTCAGTGCCTGACGCGAGATGAGGGTAGGGTTGCATCCAAAGAGTTACATCCAAGAGTTATTAGTTTGGTGCGGTCCGCTCTCTGGGCATCGCGGTATAAATGTGGCCATGTTGATAAAACTCATAGACTTGGCTGATAAATTGGTAATAGAAAGCAGCTAGAGTAATCTGTACCACAATTGATTCAGTCTTGGAAGCACAATTTGTTTGGGCCTAAACTTGATTCTGGTGCACCAAAAGGGCCTTGCGCCGGATCTACGGCGCTTGAGACACACGCAGGCGGAGAATGGCCGGAGAAGGGCCGCACATGGTGGTTGTCACTGTATCTTCTCCAATTCCAATCGGCGTAGTCTCACGCATCTCTTTTTCACTTGTACGCAGAAATCCAGTCGAGAAAATTTTCCTTTGTCGTTATCTATGGGAGGCTTGCATGCAACAGAAATATTGATATCTCGATACATGGTGCGGTATCTGCGGCTCCGTATTTTCGGGGTCCATGCGCAAGAACAGGGCCGATGTCCCCGGTAAAAAAAATTAGACGGGCAAAATTGGGAAAAAAAGAAGAAGAAAAGAAGATCAATTGGTCTCGGTGTAGGCTAACTAGATAGCTGCGGATATGGAGTCCGGGAAATCAACACCGAGAGCATGGCGATAGGCATGGCGCCGTGAGAGCGGCCGGGCGCTTCTGACGCCATTTCTTCGTCTTGGATAACGCTGGCGCGCCGCACCAAGCCGGGCCGACAGTCTGTTGAAACGGGGCTCCTGCTTTTACTATTTATTTTTATTTTTATTTTTATTTCTATATTCATTCGTTCCGGTTGATCTTGCTGCTGCCCGGAATGAATTGCGGGACGGCACGGCGTTTTAACCAGCAGTAACTAGTTTGTTACAGCGGTGTCCTTCACATTGCTGGCGGGAAAGACGGTCCGAATCGCACCTAATGGGTTTAAGCAGCTTGTCATTGGCACTTCCTTGCAGGTGACATCTGATGCAACTAGCTAGGCTTGCGAGTTCCGATAGAGAGCAATTTTTTTGATCGAATTTCCCTTCCTCTTCCGCGGCCAATTCACCGAGGAATACCGCGAGATATTGAAACACACAAGTACAGTGCTACTATGGCCGTTCTATTATCATTATGCACCCAGGCGGGACTATTGGAGACTGAGAATTAAGCGGTGGGATGGCGGCGGAGTTGGAGACGAAAATACAGCGAGCATCGTTGCCAAGGTAGTTTTTGATAAAGATGATATATGACCATGATGCGAATGAGGCTTGACTTATCTGTGAAACTCGTTTCGTGTGGTTATGCATTTGAAAGGGTCAAGCAGAAAGTTGAGATGGAGCCTTATTAATAAGGAAAGGCCAACTAGGTACGTTCGTTGATGAATCATAGAGCACGTGCATTTATCTATGGATTCATATGTCGTATGCAAAGTCGAAAGTCGTACGCGGCGGGTATAAGTGTTGATGCCGATATCACGCCGGGACTTGGTCCAGCGGAGGCGCGAGTTTGGGGCAAGATAGGACTGACTTCTGAGATGAAAGATAGCAATAACCGTTTTCTTTTCAACTGAAGCAAATGGACCCTTTGTTCAAAAGGGTCGCTTGATACAGTACAACCAGCAGACGCGAGGCTGGTGCAAGAGTACTGTTGGTGGAGTGTAATAAACCAGGCGCGCATTAATACTCCGAGTCGTTGGCGGAGCCAAGGCTACACTGATACTGTAGGTATGTATGAAAAAGGTAGTATCGGTAAGAGTAGCGCCGGTGTGCGCCGTCAAGGTAACTAGCAAAGCAAAGCAAGCATATTTACTAGGTAGTTTGCTGGCATCGGGCATGTTCGGCTAAATTGCGACCCCTGCACACTGTCAGAAAAACCCAGGGCAGGCAAACAGGTACCACCAGGGGGAACAAGGGAAGAAGAGGGAGCCCGTATCTCGAACCTTGAACGCGGCCGGAACGTCCTAATCTGGTTAAAGCAGAGAACTTGTGCTACTTGCTGGCTTGGAAGGGTTCGAGAGGTACCGTTTGCTGGGCGACTCTGTGTAACGATACTTTGGGTATGGGGGAGAGAAGAAGGAGCCTCTTTTTTCCTTGGGGGGGGGAAGGGGCCTCGACACACCCCCACTATTACGCCGGCTAACGGCCGTACTGGACAAATTGTTGCGCTGTGGTCGCTGAAATGGTTTGGAACTTACAGGCTACCGGACTACCCGCCTTTGGCCTGTTGCTGCCACCCCCCCTTTCTCACCAGGACGGGGCCTGCCAGGCGCTGTCTTGAGTCTCTTGCAGCGAATGAACCCTTCTGAATCTCATACCTGCTATGTACTGCCAGTAGTCAGTAGTCACACACCCCCTTTGGTTCGCTTCCCCCATCTTTTCCATCTTTTCCACCCATATCTGCCTTTCCCGGGCGCCCGTCTCGCCCATGCCCGCTGTTACGAATACTTGCTGCTCTTGCCCCGGCCGTGTCCCACCACCGAAAACGTGCTGGGGGCCTTGCTCGCCCGCTCTCCATCCATCTTCATAAATTCCACCACCAACAAACACTCAACACCGCACAGAGGACCTGCGATTTTTTGCATTTCTCCTCCCGTTTCCTCTCTCGATCCCGCTGTCACCAACTCGACACTCTGGCGTGCGCTTCTTTCTACACACCCCCTCTCATAGATAGCGATCATCCCGCCCGCCCCGCCCACTTCTTCTTTTCTCTCTCTCAACTCCCTCTTGTCGCTCTCAGTCTTCTCATCTCTTTTGGTTCATCTCTCTGTTGCCCAAACGTTTTCTTTCGGCCCTCGACGACCATACTTGCCATCAACAAAGCGATATCGATATAGCCATCGTCGAAACTGCCTACGTTCCCTGCTCGACAGCTCTAGTTACCCGGCCGATAAGACCACCACCCGCCATAGCAAGGATTCAACCCGTCCTTTTGCAGCCTCGGTTCTTCGACATCCGCTGCATTCCCCCTCATACATTACTGGTCCCGACAATCTTTTATCCGTGGCTGCTCTCGAACCAATCTCTTCCCTGCGCAGGGCCAATATGATCACCTTGGTTCTCTGCCTCCAACTGTAACGAAGCGAACGCAGACTCGCTTTCGAGCCGGCTAGGGCCTGGCCGCTCGTCACGACGCCGACACCCTGTCACATACTCTCGATCCAGCATCGCTGGGGGAATTCCGTTACCTGGTCACTCGCTCATTTCATCTCGGCAATATCCGTCATGGCCGAATCGCAGACTCCGGCGCGCTCCGTCGCCATGGACCCTCCACACATTACAGAGTTCGCCTCGAAGCGCTACTTTGAGAAGCTAAACCAGCTCAACACGCAACCCGGTACGGCAGAGTCATCATCAGCGACCACGCCAAATGTGTCCACATCGACGGCGCTTCCTTTGTCGACCTTTATTCTGCCTCTCCGCGAAACTAAGACTGCCGACGCCCAGTCCAAGCCTCTAGAGCCGAAGAAGGATAAGAGCCGTTTCTTCAGCATCAGACAGCGAGTCTCTCTACGACACTCTAAGACTATTGTCCCCACAGTCCCTGCTGCCATTGCTACCATCGTACCAGAGACTCTCGTCGCTCCTCATCCCGCTGCCGCTGTCGACCCCATCACCCGAGCCATTCCATTCGATCAGCTGTTCCTCGCCCTGCCCAGCGAACTACAGATCCTAATCATCTCGTCCCTCCCTCTGACAGATATCCTCAATCTCCGCTTGACCTCGAAGGCGTGGCACACCCTCATCACCCTCAACGAAGGCCCCATCGTCCGATACCACGTCGAAAACCACATCCCGGCTTACGCTCTCCGCTTATACCCCATTAATAATGCCGCCGACTACAACTTCCACTCTCTGTGCAGCATATGGCATCGTCTACATGTTGCCGCCAAACTGGCCTATCTCATGTGTGACTGGATTACCAAGGACATATTCCTGCAGCAGACTGAAGCGCAACGGAGAGCGTTCGCGCCACAACACGAGATCATGCGACGCCGACTTATTCCTTTATTGTTCACCATTTTTCACTTCTTCGAAACATATCGCAAACTGCACCTCGAACATATTCACAACAATAACGGTCATGGGCTGCAACGCGAACCATATACGCTCAATCCCATTGAGAAGAAGGTGATGGATATGTACGACGACCAAACACTTTTGAGAGTACATGAGGTATTTCCCCTCGTAATATCATCCTTCTGCCGTCGTTTGCGACCTCCAACATATGTCGGTCGCGTCGAGAGATCACTCCGAGGTTACCTGCGTGAGAAGCCGGCTGACGAGGTGCACGTTGCTATTCTGTGCTTGGGTGGCCTGCGACAGGTTGAACGGTTGTGGGAAATCAAGGGATACAACAGTCGACGAGCAGCGGTGGATGTTTGGTACGGCGCCCTCACAAAGGAGCCCATCACTGAGCCCCAAACCAAAGCTCGTCTCGCCGGGTTGCGAGGGTTTGGCCGGAAAAAGTCGACGAGCGGTGAGCGTCCCATGCATCGCTCATCGTTTAGCGAATCTCTCCATAGAGTGCGCAGTCCGTCTGGGTCCATGGATGCCACCAACTCGGGCTATTTTGACCCTAACTGGGTCTTTCACACCAGCTTGTCCGCCGACGCACCCATGGCGCCTCTGGATTCTGAGCGGGCTCACACACTCCTCCACGACCTGCCTGTACTGCAGCAAATCTGGCTCACGACGGCCGAGGCCCTTATTCTGGAACGTAAGATTGTGTCGCGCACGCAAGACATTAAGCGCAACCAGCAAGTCATGCTCGACCTGATTCGCCAGGACGGCATGAGGGAGGAAGACGAGTGGTGGTATGGACGACACAATCCAGAATCTGTCCGACCACCACCTGGCGCTGGTGCTGCCGAGGATGACGCGGACTAGGCTGTTTCTTGAAGAATCGGCCGGATTGGTCATGCCGAGACCATGTCTCGTATCATACCCAAACAGTTTGTTGCCGACAAACGCTTGGGTGGTACTGCACAGCCTGACGACTTAACCGCAAACAACCTCAGATGTTCCAATTGGTTGTGCAGTACATACTTGTTCACTATTTACCCCTCCTGTCGCCAACCCGAAAGGATTACGGACTTCCTTTGCTACCTGTCCCCTCTACTATTTGAAAGAACATATTGCATTCGCCGGCGTCTTCTTTGCTTTGTCATTGTGGCTACGCCTCCGAGGAAGTGTACTGCCATCTTTGACCTCCCCTTTCATTTTTTCCTTTTTTTATATATACACCCTACACTATTCTCACTCTTTGTTTCTCCCGCTATTGCTTGGATACATGGCACACAACCACATTGGTAATTTTGCCTCGGTCCCCATATCTTTTTTATCCTCTCTTCACCCAATAGATTCGGTTGCGAGGATGACAGACATCTCGTATTTTTTGTTAGGTGTTGTTGCTCTGGCTACGCACGTAAGTCCTTGCTGGAGCTTCTCTTTCCCCTTTTTAGTATTTAGCCCGGGAGCCCGGAAAACATGGGATGGATCGGATCTCTGGGTGTAGGAGCCTGGAAAGGAAATCAAGACAGACAATTTCACTTAACTGCTGATGTTCATTCTCTATGCATGTTGAATCCGGACTTGAGACGTGTTCTGATGTAAGGAGTACTAGGGTTGTACGTCGTCCCATACGTTTGAAGTTTAGGTGATGTGCACAGCAAGGACCAGTTTTGGGGCCATGTGATTAACATGGAAACGTATTTCACTTTAGCGCAAAGTGCGTATCAATAGACACCAGAAAGGTGCGCCAATCCCAAGTAAATATCGCCCTCAATCAATAATATCAATGCCTCATCGCGCCAGCCTCCCCAATTCCACGTACATATCATATACCATGTATATACTCACCGTCATATTTTTGTGCAACTCAGCCACGACTGTCATGCCGTACAGGCCTGAGCAAAAATAGAAAAAAAAATAATAAACGCCCTAGAAAAAACGCATAGAACAATAGAAAAATTTGGTATCCCGTAGCTCCCCTTTTTGTGTCCTTGAGCAAAATCGACAAGAGAAACCGAAAGATAAATATCGCTCCCCTCCCAGGGTTGGAAAATACAACGCTGCAGATAGTAAATGTACAGTTGATAATGTTTCTGACCAAAGGATCATACAACACCGATCATCGTCATTGCCGTTGCTGCTGTTGCTGCATCGATTGGTGGTACATTCGATGGGCCTGGTCGGCATTATTCATGGTACCCATTTGACCCGTGGAGCCGCCAAAGGTGTGATCCGTAGCATCAGGTACTCGCGCACCGCTCATACCGGCATAGTTCATACCCATGTAGTTCCGAGCCGCATAGTTGGGAGGGAAGGGGCTGTTCATCGACGGCGACGCTCCAGCGGACGTCGCCGGCGGGACCCGGCCTGCAAAGCCTGCCTGTCCCATGCGAGAGCCATCATGTGTAAGTTGTGCACCTTGGGCTGCAGGTGATGGTCGTTGTTGATGTTGCATGCCAGCATCGCCGGATGGAGCACGTACCATGTGGCTCTGGAACATTGGGCTCTTGCCGCCGCTGTTAGCTTGGCCAAATTGGCTAGACGGATTCGCTCCTGGGTTCAGATCCACCGAGAGCCGCTGATTCATAAAGTGATGAAACTGCTGTTGATGCTGCTGCTGCTGCTGATTGTACATGACACTGCGTGACAGGTCCATGACAGCCGAAGGTTGTTGTGGCTGATTGCCCCCAATAACTGGTGACTTGTGCTGTCCTGGCTGCTGCCCAAAGGGCTGTTGCTGCGGCTGACTGGGCGGGGGAAATGGTTGCTGCTGCGGTTGGGGTTGATGCCCGGGTTGCTGGCTATACTGCTGCTGCTGCTGCTGCTGCTGATGCTGTGCCTGGGGCTGTCCAGGACGACTTGGAGGCTGACTTCGTGCGGCAGGTTTTCGATTCGGCGGCTGTTGGGCAGTATCGAAGCTTCCAGGAGACACCATCTGTTGAGATGCGCTTTGAAAGCTGGAATTCTGAATAGGTGACTCTGATGAAGTCATTCTAACCTGGGTACCCATTTGCGGAAAAGGAGCGCCATCCTTAGAAAAGCGTCTCCTTTTGCTATTTGGATCGGTAGCCTGCGCATCGTCTTGCTGAGTTGCTGGAGGCATGCCGGCATTGTTGCCATGGCCGACAGGTGTGTCGGGCTGCTTTTTGTCGTTCTTGCGCTTGCGAGACGGAGCTGGGCTTCCGTCTTGGCCAACTGGAATCCCTACAGTGGTCCAGCCACTTTGCGGTTGTGAACTGCCAGTTTCCACCATATTCGAGACACCGAGAGTCCCAGATGAGGGTCGAGTGCCACCGTCCTGGCCCAAAGACATCGAGTTGGGCATTTGGCCCATGGGAGACATGAAAGAGTCCTGAGACTCTTCGGCATCCTGGCTTGGGCCCGTTTCTCCGGTGGTAGAAGCAGGATTTCTGGGCTTGTTCTTGGAGCCCTTCGGCCGACCTCGCTTCTTCCCTGGCGTTCCAGCATCTGACTGACCCGGCGTGCCTTGCTGTGATGAATAGATCTGCTGACTGGGCCAAGTGCCCGTAGCGTTGGGTCCCTGGGACCCTTGCGTAGCCATAGAGTCAGTATCGTTTGGTGGCTGGTCTTTTATCTTCGGTTTGCCCTTGCTACCCTTTGGCCGTCCGCGGCCTCTCTTGATGGGAACGGCGGGTGCGTTTGGGTCGGCGGTGACATTAGCGGCCGCAGTTGCGGGTTGCGCAGTCGCTTTGCCATCTTGCTGTGTAGTATTATACGTTGGTGGCAACGGTTGAGCTGACACCGGTGGTGTCTGATTCTGGGCGGCATTAGGGTTCGGAGGAGCAGAGGCCGGCGGTAGCGATGAGGGGTCGGCCGATGGGGGAAATATTTCAGCCAACCAAGACACAAATTGCGAGCCAGCTCCGTTCAACTGGTGGCTTGGTGGAAAATGAGCTCTGGTCTCGGGGGCGGGGGCGCCAGGAATGCCTCCAAAGAAGGCGACAGCCTTGCAAAGCTGATCGGCAATGGCGACGGGATTAACAGAGCGCAGCAAGGTGAGTAGACGGGCTTGTTCAGCCTTGGCGTCCTTGGGACTCAGACCGACAAAGTGTGTGGGATTGGATGGGTCGCCATCTGGAGGCGGCCAGACGAGTTTGGAGCGCTTAACTGACTGGTACCCGGCCTGGTTGGCGATTCGAGCGGCGGCCTCTGTCCCTTCGCTAGTGCGCTTGGCGGCGTCGTTGCGCATGGATTTTTCTGATCGGCCTAAATCAATATGCATGACAGCAAAGTTGCCATTTTTGTTGTCGGCCATGCCCTGCAGCTTGCTGGGAACAGGATTCTTGACGCGCCCGTCGGTAGTTAGAAATGACGTCTGTCCATTGAAGTCGGCGATGTCTGCGACGGCGGAAAAGGATGAGCAATATGTTAGCGGCATGGGGTGCGGCGAAAAGGGAGAGTGAAGCAGCGGCAGGAGCAAACGTACGACCATGCAAGATGGGAGCCGAGTGAGCTTCGCCCTGGGACGAGGGCGGCTGATGGAGGCTGGGCGCCTGTATGATGCCGGCTGGGGCCGGGCTTGGGGCGGAAGCCGACTGGTGAGACGTTGTGGACGTCGCGGGCGCGGGCGCGAGGCGAGGGTTTGAGTTGATTCGGGTAGCTAGTCCACCAAGTTAGGCAAGGCAAGACAGACGATGGACGACGGACGGGCAAAGGGGTAGTTCGTAAGATGGAGAGGCGATGACGAAGCAACGTCTAGAGGGAAAAGTCGATGCGACCAGGGAAGGGAGCAACCAACGCGAAACAGAGGCCATGGCTCTGGGATGGATCCCGGTCTAACGCGACAGCCCAGCAAGAAACCCCCGCTATAATGATGGCCTGAGCCTGCTTAGGCCGGGAGCCTGAAGGTGAGCTTGGGCCCTCGTGGCTAATCAGAGACGACAGGTCCGGTTTGCGGATGGTGATGTGCGACGCTGGGCGGAGAGAGTCATGCCATTGCGTGGGAAGGGATGCCAATTGGAAGGTGGGAGGTGCGGCGGCGGCGGCGGCTGTCGTGTATTTTTTTCTGTGGTGTAGGCTGACGAACGTGGATGGAGACGACGGGAGAGGAGGAGCAGGTGCAGCCGCACTCGGGCAGGGACCGAGGAAAAGGAAGCAGCGGCCGGGTCAAGCTTGATGTTGTTGGCTTCTTCTGCGATTGAGAATTTTTCAGGTCCTTGTCTACAGGATTCTTGGGAGTGACTAACTGGAGCCCCCTGACCAAACCGGCCTAGACAGAGGGCGTGAGTGCAATTTTTGCGATGTGCAACAGCAGGCGGGGACGGACGAGGTCATTGGGTGAGGCTGGGAGTGGCGTGGCTGGAGCTGGCCGCAAGCTGGCTGGAGCTGGCTGGTAAACGGTAGCTGGCATGGCTAGCGGCTACAGGGTGGCGGTACTCTGTACATACTAAGGTAGACGTGGCGGAAAATTACGCTGGAGGCTGAAGCTGTGGCAGCTTGGCAAGTTGGCCGTTGTACAGAGTACTGTAATTTGTAGCCCCCGCCACACGCTGTGCCACAAGAGCCCCAAGTCTTCTATCATCGCGGCACAGCGCTTCAACGCCAAACGAGTTCAACGCCAAACGAGCCAGCCAAACTCCAAACTGTCCTCGTTGCCCCACCTCTTCTCTTGGTGTCCGCACCGCTTCTGATTGGTAGCCCATGGCCAGCTACCATCTTCGTCATTCAAGCTTCATCCGGGCCGTCTTCTCTTCCTCCTCTGCCCGCAGACCATCCGCCCCTTCATCTCTCACACGCCGCTCATCGGTTGCTGCGCTTGCGGGTCCAAACAGAAGTCTTCTCCCACCTCCCGCGCCCTCATCCGCCTTTCTCTCCTTCTGTCCTCCCCCCGCCTACAGAGCGACACAATGTCGGCCAAATACGCTGTAGTCTCGCTGCCCCTCAGCGCCTTTGACTCGGCCGACCGCGAGGATGCCCTGTCGTCTCTACGCGCGACCATCGCCGACAATGGCAATGTTGTGCCCTTTAAGATCCCCGACTTCAAGATTGGCACCCTCGACGGACTCGTGCAGCATGCCGACGACTTGGCCAAGCTCGAAGCCAACTGCGAGGCTGTCGTAGCCAAGGTTGCCGAGTCTCTACGCTCCGTGCTCGATGGCGACCCAGACCGACTAGCTTCCTACAAAATGGTCAACGATAGTATGGTCTGCCGATTGCCATTACCCTAGACGGCGCTGACCGATGATGCAGAGCCCACCGACCACTATCTTAGCAACTTTAGCTGGAACAAGGTTCGATACCGATCTGACAAGTCTCTGAGTGAGCTCATTGATACGCTATCAAAGGTTGAACCGCCCCAAGCGACTCGAGATATGTGCACTCGCTAATACCGCAACAGGAGTTGGTCACTGTTGACAACGACGTCAAGACCAAGTTCAATCAATACAACGCCGTTAAAACAAATCTTGCTTCCCTGCAGCGGAGACAACAGTAGGTTTCTTGATCATGATTGAAATCGCCCGCTAACACGAGCAGGGGAAATCTCGCGACTAAATCCCTGGCCCCCATTGTCGACCCCTCATTACTCGTTACCGATTCCGAATACCTCGAAACCCACCTGATCGCCGTGCCCAAGAATTACAAGAAAGACTTCCTCAAGGAATATGAGACACTGGCACCCATGGTTGTTCCACGATCCTCTGTCGAGATTGATCACGACGACGAATTTATCCTGTTTGGCGTTACAACGTTTAAGAAACACAGCGCCGAGTTTCTGCAAAAGTGCCGTGAGCAGAAGTGGACACCCCGCCAGTTCACATATGTCGAAGGCGGCCGTGAAGAGGAGCAGCGCGAGCTGGACCGCGTCACAAACGAAGAGCGCAAGGTTTGCGGCGAGGCTCTGCGCATGGGACGTACCGGCTGGAGCGAAAGTGTCATGGTTTGGATACATGTCTTGACACTGCGAGTCTTCGTTGAGGCAGTCCTCAGATACGGTTTGCCTTTAGAGTATCTGTCGGCATTGGTCAAGGTGAGCAACTGGGTAGTCAGTCGATTTGATGCACACGTCCATGCTAACACGCCATAGACGACAACCAAGTACTCAGACAAGGTCAAGGCGGCACTAGACAACAAATATGCATTCCTAGGCGGCAATGCGTTTGGGCGGGACAAGCGTGGGCGAGTGACAAAGGACGATGCTGCATTCAGCTCAGAAATGGCGGCGGCGGGACTGGCGACAGGCGAAGGCAACGAGTACACGGCGTATGTCTACTACCAGGTAGAATTCCCCTAATTCAGAGCTGGGGCGCAGAGACAACTGTATTGTATGGCTACCGACCTGCGGGCCATACTCCTTTTCAATTTTACCTAGATGTTCTGACTACTATGCTTGCCCTTGGGTGGGAAGAGAAGACGCTTAACTGGATTCGTACACAGCACAATTTGCCATGAACGAGTTGTCTGGTGTATCGAGATATATATGACGGGTAACGTAATGATCCCGATTTGATGTTACTTTTATTTTATATCTAATGTATTTGTGCATCTTACGCCGTCTTAATGTAGCCCTTATCCGAGAGCCACTTGGTGATTTGGACCACGCACTCCTCGACAGTGTTTTCGTGGGTTTTGATGGTGATTTCCGGGCTGGAGGGCTCCTCATAGGGGGCAGAGATGCCGGTAAAATCTTTGATCTCGCCAGCGCGGGCCTTTTTGTAGAGGCCCTTGGGGTCGCGCTGCTCGGCGACCTCGAGAGGCACGTCAACGTAGACCTCGACAAAAGGGAGAGGCTCGTCGGTGCTGCCGGGGGCGACGGCGGCGTGCAGGGCGCGGGCCGAGTCGCGGTCGGCGCGGTACGGCGAGATGAAGGAGGTGATGGCGATGGCAGACGAATCGGCAAAAAGCTTGGCGACCTATAGTTTGTCTTGTCAGAAGCCGGCTTTCAGTCGAGATATTATGGTCCTTGTTGTTTCAAACAAGCATGAAGCGAGGACCAGACAAGAAAAAGAAGAACCCACTTCAGCAATGCGGCGAATGTTTTCGTTGCGGTCCTTTTCGGAGAAGCCAAGGTCCTTGTTCAGGCCGAAGCGGACGTTGTCACCGTCGAGACGGTACGCGGTAATGCCCTGCTGCAGGAGGTGCTGCTCGAGGGCCGTGGCGACGGTCGACTTGCCGGACGCGGAGAGGCCCGTCAGCCAGAGCGTGAGGCCGCGCTGGCCGCGGAGCTGGTTGCGCTCGGCGCGGGAGAGAGACGGGTGCCAGGTGATGTTACTGGAGGTCGTGCTGTTAGCTGGGTAGTGGTGGTTGCTGGTGATGGTATGCATGTCATTGCGGGGTGGAGGGGTAAGCAAACGTACGTAGCCATTGTGAGGACAGTTGTTGGTCAAGAGAGATGAGATAGAGAAACGGAGGGAGAGAATTGAATTGTGAGAGAGGGAGAAAAAATTGAATGTTAAACTCGCGCGCCTGGATATGCACAAGCTGTGGTTGTGTGGGTTTGGGCTAGCTATTGCGTGATGAGCGCCAGCCAAGAACAAGAGTCGTCGCGCGTGGTGGTGGGCTTGTCAGATATCCGGTGTAAGAGGGCTTTCGAGAGGACGATGGAAGCACTACAAACGGGTTTTACCTATTTATGCAACAGCTTAGCTCTACTACATATAATTCTGTATACTACCTCCAACGGTACAATCTTACAAGTGCAAGTCAACTTGATTCCAGCGGCCGGTGTATAATAGTGTCGAGAAGGAACCAAGAAAAAACTAATTTGACGCACTGATGGCGACATTCCGACGCCCCGAGGATCCGCTCCCCACCTCAGCGTCTGCGATCAACTCGGCTTTTTTTTGACTGTCGCGCGGTGACAACGGCTGCGATAATTTCGGCGAAGTCAAGTATGTGTGTTGATATATTTGTACATTAGTCTTCTTCCTCCTCCCTCTGTCTAGTCTATAGTCTAAATCTGCATCCTGTATCACCCATGTCATAATGCTGCAAGGCAAACCCCATTTAACAAACAAACACAAAATAAATGAAAAAAAGAGCTAATTTCGGATCGTTATGAGTCGGCGCTTTAACTGCCGATGGTGTTGCTGGTATATCCGCTCTGAGTCGCAGGAAGATTGCCTGATGCCGTGGCCGGCTGCCCGTGCCGAAACCTCCTTGTTGCTCTAGTTACTGGATTTTGGGCATGGCCTGTTAGGTGTGCGTCAGCGATCACATCCTTCACTACTCGCACCATGTGACACCGTCTTTCCACTTACCGCCGCGTGTTTGGGCGACACAAACATGGCCGTGGCTTCCGCAAAGATGATGGGCTTCGCGCCCTCGTCCTGCAACAGCTCAATATGGCCCTTGACCCAGGCCTTGCGGCCGTCCACCTTTGTCGTTGTCGCGCGCAGCACGAGGAAGCTATCGGCAGGCATGGGCTTGCGGTAGTCGATGTTGAGGTTGGCCGTGACGCCAATGTTGTGCGGCAGGGCGCCAAAGCAGCAGCGCGCGAGGCCCTCGTCGAGCATGGTGGCGATGAGGCCGCCGTGCACGATGCCCGGGTGACCGCACAGCTCGGCGCCGACGTACGACACGCCGACGAGCGAGCGGCCGCCGTCCTCGGTCCACGAAAAGGGCGGCACCGCGAGCTTACCGGGGCCGAGCAGCGCGCCGCCCGTCAGCGTGTGCTGCCGGTACGATGCCGGCATCTTCATGTGCGGCCGCGACTCCGTCATCTCGGGCTGTGCGCGCAGCGCGGCCACGAGCGGGTGCGCGTTGATGGCGGCCTCGATGCGCTGCGCCGTGTCGTCGCCGTGGGCTGCGGCGTGCGCGGCGGCCCGCTCGTTGCTGTCCGAGTCGGAGTAGAAGCCCATGCCGGCTTGGGTCATGATTTTCCAGGTGGCGGCGGCGCCGAGGCTTGTGAAGACGAGTCCGTAGAGGGCAATCCTGCTGCCAGAGTTGTTTCGAGGAGGAGGAGGAGGAGGAGGAGGGGCGGTAGTTTTCGAGGAAGCTGGGGAGCGAATAAATTCGATTGTGAGCAGACGTCATCATCCAGTGAGATTCGTTGCGTGCACGTGGGAGAGTTATATAATCAAACTGCTCATCCGGGCAGACTCGTCCCAACAAACGCGCACGGAAAGTCCGGTTCCTACTCACCAGACGTGGAGCTGGCCTCGCCAGCAAAGCCTCGTCTCACCGTGCCGTTCCGGGCTGTGGATCGAGTCGCTGCCTGCGCCAGTCGACGGCCAGGGCGGACAATTCGTTGGCTAAACATGGTCGATAGTTGCGGTTGATCTGGTGATGGCAATGTACGGAGGAGGGCAAACAAAGTAGATTGCTTGGTAGCTAGAAACCGTCCCAACCTGAACGCTGACTCTGGCTGACGGCCCTTTTTTTCTTTGGCAACGGCTTCAGCCGAGGCAAGGCGCCGCCCGCAAATAATAAGGCACTGCCGCAACAACGGGACTTTTTTCCCAAACTTCCTGCGGCCCGGACCCATATTTCTCAGCGCTCCAACGGAGTTTTTCAGCGCATCGCTCTCCGTTGTATCCGCTTCATCCATCATCTCATCAATGACTTATGTCCATTTGGTGGGTGTTGAATGATGCAATCTGCGATCTGTTGGGGTCAAATAATCTCTAGAAGGGGCTGCATGCGAGATCTGTTGAGCCGCACGGTAACTAATTACCATCGGAGCTTTTGTCTGGACCACTCAGTGGCTGTGAGAGCATGAAGCCAGCAAGGAAGCAGATTTACTGCGTGGCCATTAAAATACATTAGGCTCAGAACGTGCACTGTAAGGAGAGAATGCTCCTTGAGAACACCAGGCTGTGAGGCGTGCGCAGGAACCACACCGTTCGCAATGCTCCTCCAGTGATGTCAAAATGCTGCTCCCAGCTATGTGCATGATGACATGTATAGCGCAGACCGGCTCATACAGATACACAATGCAATCAAACCTGGGCGAGGACGAATAGAGCGCCCGGGATCTATTAGGGAAGCGAGACGGTGTTGCGCGGGCGCGGATTGAACCATCTCTTCATTAACACCAGGCTTATGTACAATGTTGCTTTTAGTTTATTCTGTTCAAATATCCTCCTCCTCGTTCGCCAGAAGCTCTGCGTAGTCGTCCACTGACGCGAAAGTAGGCAGGCCTTTCAGCATCTTGCGTCTCGCCGACTTCTTCCTGTTGTCCTCTTTCTTGGCATCCATTTCCTCCTCACTGTCCTCATCATTGAATTCTACGAAACCATCGGAACCCTCATCATCATCGCCTTCAATGGAAACCCCACCGTCCGACTCATCATCGTCCAAGGACATGGCCGGTGATGATCCATCAAGAGAAGCCAGCTCTTCGTCATCAAAGTCGTCAAAGCCTTCATCCACATCGGAATCTTCGCCATCAATTTCAGGTCGAGAGTTGACCAGGGCTTTCCAGACCTCATCTTCGCCAGCCTCCTCGGCTTCATCGGCATTCTCAGCGTCAGCAGCAGCAGCAGCAGCAGCCTTCTTCTTCTTGTGTTTGGGTTCCTTGCCGATAGTCTGGAAATATTCATGAAAGAAGACGTCCTCGGCTGCAACATCTTCAGCCTTCTTATTCCAGAACGCTGCAGAGTTAACCTGGGTACTAGTGGTGCCGGCACCACGACTGCCCAGCCAGATATCGCCGGAGTCCTTGGTGGCTCTGAGCGGCTGCATGATGGATACGCCCTTGGCACCATCTGTTGACTTGGCATTGCGGTACACAAACTTGTCCAGGAATCGAATAAGAGAATGGCTATCAAGATCGGGTTTTTGCATCTTGGCAGCCTTGTTGACAAGTCCAGCTGCAAAGACGGTGACTGAGGGATGATAATGAGTCTGCATCGGAATCATTTCCCACAGGCAGCTTCTCTGAGCATTGCTGTGTTCTGGATTTCGTTTCCTGCCGTCATACACAGGGCGCTTGATATCGTCGTCATCATCATCGTCAAAAACGGACTCTTCTGGCTGGTCGATGAGAGTGGACAGGTCGGGGAAGGTTTGGCGCAGATGGCCGACAACATAAAGAAGTCCGCATACAAACGGAGGCTGGTGCAGAACGGCGGTTTGAAGCATTCTCTTGGCAAATGCTTTGACGCGCCGCACATCCACATCGTTCTTGAGAGACCTCAGTAAAAGGTTGAGATACAAAGCTTGCTTTGAGGAAGTGACTAGGCGAGGGTCCAGAAGAGATTCATAAAGTGTGCGGTAGAAGCGGTCGGTTGCGATACCTCTGGCAAAAGACATGTGTTGAATGAGCAACAGTGCCTGGATACCAGTGTTGAAGTTGGTGGAGTGGGCAATCTTGAATAGCGTGTCCACGTGTGCTTCCATTCTAGTTTTGTTAGCGACTGATCAAGAGACCCAGAGACAAAAAAAATAGAGACTTACACTCCGTCATTAGCACCGACGAAAGGCGCAGCACGGTTGACACCAGTCAACAAAGCAGAAACCAACTTATCGGCAGCCTCTGCTTCTGGAACTGCTGGAGTGTGCCTAATGGGCTTTCCGCCTTTTCGGGGAGGTCGTCCTCCAGGCCTGCCAGGTCGAGTTGCTGGCCTCTTGTCTGCATCGTCCTGTGCATGGGGTTCTTCTGCCTTCTTTTCGGCATCCTCCTGTGCCTGGGTTTCATTTTGCAAGGGAATACCCAAGCTACCCGATTTCAACATGGCGACAAAAAGCTCGAAATATATGCGAATGAGTGACTCGGCAACCGCGGGCTCTTTGCTGCTCAGGATGGTTTGGTTTAGAGTGTTAATGGCATAGTATCTGGACCGGGAATCCTGGGAAGGATGTAAGAGGATTTCTTGCTCCACAGCGCGAACAATGACCGGCTTCATGCCGGGGTGAGAATTTTGCAACTGCAAGAGAAGATATGAAACGCGAGATGCAATTTTCTTTTCTCTGTCTCCGAGCTTGTTGACGAGGAGCGTCAGGAGGTTGGACTCTTGTTCGGGTTTCTCTTTCAACAGGGCGTACACAAAATCAACCGCCTTGATACGAGAGTATTCAATTTCATCAGAGCACCACCCTTCCAATAGCTGGATAATTTTGAAGTATGTGGCCTTCAACCAGTCTTCGAATATCCATGAAATCAGATGCGCTTCGGAAATCTTGCCAGGTAGTGGATGACCCGGGGCCCAGACCTTGAAAGAGTGCTTCTGAAGCGTACCAAGCAGGCCGGGCTGGTTTTGGAAAGTGCGAAGTCGTCTGTCGGCGGGCAAGAGGGTGCCAGGGCCAAGCAAATCGACCAGCGCACCAATGGCACCAATAGCTTGGCCTCTACTCTTCTTGGAGGCCAGGTTTATAAGGCCATCGAAGGCGCGGATATTGTGCACGGGAGACTCCTGAATAGCGAGGGTGAGTGCAGAGACTTTGTCAGTCAAGGTACCGGAGGTCATGATGGTAGACAAGAACTTGTGCGAAGCCGAGGCAAACATGCTTGTTCGGTATTTGTCGCCATCTTTCTCCAAGAGAGATTGAGCGTGTTGCTTTAGAGCCTGGAGAGAAGAGAAAAAGGGACCAATATCGTCGGTGATGGGCGACGGCAGCTTCGCAAGCTTGTAGGCGTGCCAGTCGGCGCGAGGCTCAAAAGTCTGTCTATTACGTTAGATGTCAGACATGTTTCACTATGTTGTATTTTACGCACCATGTTGCCCATGTTGCGGCTTTCGGGGATCTTTTCGTCTTCTTGGTCGTCCTCGTCGTCCTCGTCGTCTTCATCGTCGTCTTCCTCTGTTTCGGCATCCTCTTCGACCTCGTCCTCGCTAGCCTCTGGTGGTGTAAATTTAGAGAATCCAAGTTCTTTAGATAGAGCTGCAAGATCGTCCTTTAGCTTCTTGTCCACTGGCGTCTTGCTATCGCCAACCACTTCGTCCTCGGAGTCGACGCCGTTGATCAGCTCTAGGTCGTCCTCGTCACCTCCCAGGGCAAGAATTTCTGCAAGAAGAGCCTCTTGCTCAGTCTTTGCGCCGTTCGTCGCGGGGGTGGCGTCAGACTTGCGCTGCTTCTTGGCCGTCTGCACAGGTGAAGCGTTCGTGGGTGGTCGCTTGCGCTTCTGATCGTTACCAGTTAGGCCCTGGCCAATTCTTGAGGTGAGCTTTGCAAGAGCATCTTCGTTGAAGGACAGACCCCCACCAGAACGGCGGGCGCCCTTTCCTTTTTGCTTTGACTTTGCCATTTCCCGGAACTCTGTAAATCCAAAACTGCGTCTTGTTGCAAAATTTCTGGAAAAGCAGAAGGCTTTTGCCAGTCCCAACTTGAACTTTTTTTGCGGGTCTTTCGTGGCTCCACTTTTGAGTGCGACGGGGCTGCGCCGTGCCTGAGTTGGAGTCCTCGAACATGTATTTCATCACGCATTGTCTCCAATCAGATCGTTGTGCCAGCGCCGCATTTCGGGAGCTTCGGGGTATCTTCTTGGTCTCAAATGTGTCCCCTGACACGGGCGGTATGTGGCCGTGGCCCTGTTCGTGCAGGTTCCACGGCACAATACCTCACAGGCCGCCGCATCGTTCGCCGATGCCGGTCTACTCTCTCAAAAATATGGGTGCCTACAGGAGGAATTGCCGAAACGGAAAGTGAATGTGAGAGATGGCCGCATTATAGAAGCTGGGTGCCTCTGTATCAAACTGACCATTCTTAGCCGGACATGACAAGCTCATCCGTGCTGGATTCCTTCGACAGGTACATCCTTGAACACCCTTTATAAGTACAACGTGGATTGACTTGCGCAGTCTCAAGCAGGAATCTTCCAACTTCTTCCGTTGGGTCTTCGTGTGCAGAACAAAATTGAGAAATTGATTGACAAGCACATGGAGTCAATTGGTAAGTTGCACTTTCCGGCAGACATACATCGCCACTCATTCTGTCTACAGGGGCATCGCGGCTTTCGTTGTCCACCATAACTTCTGAAGAACTCTGGAAGAAAAGTGATCGCCTGGACAGTGTTGCGCCAGAGGTGAGAAAATTAGCCGAGTAGTTCTATACATGTCTAACCTGTGAAAGCTCTTTCGCCTGAAAGACCGTAAAGAGGTTTCGCTCATGCTTTCTCCGACGCATGAAGAAGAGATAACAACATTGGTCGCAAATGCAGTGCAATCATATAAAGACTTGCCTTTACGACTGTACCAGATCAGTATGTCAGTTCAAACCTGGGTCGAAATTACCTTCTAACATCAGGTAGCCAGAAAGTATCGCGATGAGATGAGGCCGAGGCAGGGCTTGCTTCGTTCTCGTGAATTTCTGATGAAGGATTTGTACACCTTTGATTTATCCTCAGAGGCTGCGATTGAAACATATCAACAAGTTCAAGCCGCGTACAAGGCGATTTTTGATGAGATGAAGGTACAAATTCTCGTTGCCGAGGCCAGCTCTGGCGATATGGGCGGGAATCACAGCCACGAATACCATCTCGCGGATTCAACTGGGGAAGACACTGTTGCACATTGCAATAGCTGTGAATATACTGCAAATGATGAAGTCGCAATCTCTAAAATCAACCCGCAACATGCCCTCGACACCAACGCGCCATCCAGCTACGGGCTATGGAGAGGAATTACCAAGGATCGGAATACGCTGATCAACGCGTGGTACCCCCAAAGTGACGGCGGCAATCTCAATGTTCATGCCGTTAAAACCCTGGTTCCGGAGCTGGACACAAGCGTGCATGACCCTCTACCGCTTTGGGAGGTCGCAGTTGACAACCCTGAAACTGCGCTGGTGAATATTGTTGATAGTCGGCTTGCACCTGGCTTCGGAAAAATTCATTCCAAGCTGGCTCTTCTCCCCGAAGAATTGCAAGATGACTTCATTGGCCCTCAATTCGCAACGAGTACTGCTACAAATGGCGACGGATTGAATTTACTTGCCTTGGCTGAAGGAGATGGATGCCCGCGATGCGAATCAGGGACACTCAAAATTAGCCGAGCTCTAGAGCTTGGACACACGTTTTATCTAGGCACGCGGTATTCCAAGCCCCTCGAAGCCCTCGTGTCGCTTCCTGAGAAACCGTCACAACCGATTCCCATTCAGATGGGTTGCTTTGGTATTGGCGTGTCACGCATTTTTGGCGCCGTTGCCGAGAACAGAGCCGACAGCAGAGGGTTGAACTGGCCCAGAGCCATTGCGCCTTTCGAAGTGGCTGTAATTCCGTCTTCCGCCGTGAATGACGAGATGCTGGCCTTCTTCGACTCCCTCGTTGATGGCGGGTCGTTTGACGCCGTGCTGGATGACCGGAAGAAAGCGTTTGGATGGAAAATGAAGGATGCCGATATCACGGGATACCCGGTTGTTGTTGTTCTCGGCAAGGCGTGGAGGGAGCGTGGTGTTTGCGAGGTTCAATGCAGAAGCCTGGAGCTCAAACAAGAAGTTGCTGCATCTGAGCTTCCAATGGTCTTGGAGCAGTTGCTGCAAAAGCTGTAGTTGGCGATCTCCTAGCCCAGGACTTGGCTTTTCGGGGTATCTTTTGGACCATGTAAAATACCTGTAAAATCACTGCAAACTACTATACTAATAAATTCCAGATTAGATTTGAAGCAATACTGTCTGTTGTACTCTGTAGTTGTTCAATCAAGCTGAGAGCAGTTGCGGGTCTTATTCGCTGTGGCGTCAAAATGTCAAGCTCCTGATGGTGGGGTCACTCGCCGTCTCTGTCTTCCAAAGTCAACCTTCAAAATCACAAGCAACATGTCGTCAGGCGAGCGAGAAACAGGTACGAGGGCGCTTTCCAAGTCGAAAAAAGAACTGCTGGTTTTGCAAGCGGCGCTAACAGACTTTGCGCAACAGTCAACCTCGACACCCTGGAGCCACAGCAGCTCGCCCAGGTCAAGAAACAGCTCGACGAGGAGCTTGAGCACCTGACGTCGTCGTTTTCGCAGCTCCACGGCGCCCAGTCAAAGTTTCGAGAGTGCCTGCGATGCGTAAACAGCCGGTCTGAATCGTCAAAGAGTAGGTTCATTCAACGTGGTGGTTTTCGGTCCCTGCACCGAAAGGACGTGGCGGTCGCGAGCCAAGCAGGCGACCAAGAATCGTGCGCTAATCTGGACGATCGTCTGCGTCGCAGGCTCCAACGAGGTCCTGGTACCGCTGACCAACTCTCTTTACGTACGAGGGGAATTAACAAATACGGAGACGGTGCTCGTGGATATTGGTACTGGTTTCCTGGTGGAAAAGGTAGGCAGGCTGTCATGGTAGCTCACCAGGACTGGAGCGCCTTTGCTGACGAAGTATGCTAGAAACTGAATTCGGCCGCTACTTTTTACGAAAATAAAATCAAGGAGCTGACGAACAGCCTGAAAGAACTGGAAGCCATCATTCAGCAAAAGCAGATGAACGTGCGCACAATTGAAGAAGGTTAGAACCCGCCAGCGATGCTCCCTCCATTCCTTTGCTAAGACGATTCTACAGTATTGCGACACAAAATGATGACACAACAACCCGGCCAATCCCAATCATGAACTTAGAGCATATAAAATATCAAGAAAGAAACATTTCGGGCCCGGCAATATTTCAGGCTCACTCAAGACTGTGCTGTGACAATGGAGTTTTGTACTTGAAAGACACATTTGAGGAATCCCCCCAGACGCTCCTCAAGCGAACCTTCTCCAGGCCATAACCGTCGAAGAAGATTTTCTTCGCCACTGGACGATTCTCCAATCCTGCATTCGTGCAGAGCCTCTTCCCAATGAATACCGCGCACCGAGACGGACCAGCTCAAACGGTCGGGCTCTGGGCTAAGTGGTACCCTAGCCCAATGCTGTGTTATAGAAGTCTCGATTTCGTATGGTGTATCGCGATACTGAAGCCTGAATAACGATGTGAGTTGAAAACTGCTTAAAACATGAGTCGGATCTCCTCGAGGCAACGCCTGCCATTTGGGGAGCTGAAAGCGTTGCATATCCTCTTTGGCTACTTCGCCTGACCTTTTGGGCTGCCTGTTATGCATTTCTGCATTAATTTTGAAGGTAAAGGACTGCGCAAGTTTGGTTGTTGCATCAAGCAGTTTGTCGTTCTTGTCACCAGTGTAGTTTGGGTGGGAACTGACTCGCATAGTCCAGTCAACATCCCTAAAGCGATGATCAGTCAATGAATAAACATACTCAACTCACCTTCGCTGCCGCAGTTAGTTTACTCACATCGCCGGGGCCGAAACAATCCAGTCTAGTGGCGGGTGGCTCTCTGTTTCCGTGCATCTTGAGGAGGCTACCTTGGCAACTCCATCTTCTTCCCATAGATCTGCAGTGACAGTTTGCTTGTCCGCATCAAATTGGACAAGATGCTTCAATGCCACGTTTGCTTTGTTTTGTACGATTTCGTCATTGTTCAGGATGGACGATACGAAGATATTTGCAACATCAACGTTTGGAAACCTGTTGTTTCTGTCAGAATTGTGCTTCACAAAATCGGTAGTTCACTTACTCGTTGTCAATGCTCAACCCCCTTCCACGGCTGGAGTATGACCCAAGTGCAGATTCGAACTCTTCACAAGATAACCGATTTCCCACACTCTTTCGTTTGGCCAAGACCTTGAGATACCCGAAGTTTATTTGCATTTTTAAAGCCGGTAAAGCCGCCAGTGACTTAACCGCCGAGGGCAATATCGTGGCAAAATGAGCGACCAACCGGCTGAGCCCATATTCAGCGTCGCGTGCGTTGTCTGTGGTGCTTTCGACGACTGGTCGCTTACCAATTTCAAACTTGATTGCAACCCCTGCGTTTTCTTTGGGCAGCTGCGTAAAGTACTGCACGGTTAATGATTCTTCGGAAAGTCGCATATGGTGAATTCTTCCGTTGATCGCGTTGAGGGCCACGTGAAGCGACTTGGAGTTCTTTGAACAGAGATCCAAAAACGTCTCCGACCCTCTTTCTCTAGTGATCCAAACCTGGTGCTCTCTTCGTATGTCGTCGAGAACCCCAAGGTCGCCTAGGGCCTTTGGCATGAGGTGGTCCCCAGGAATAACAAGCCGTAGCTGGATCGATCGTAAACGGCAACTAAAGGAAGGAATGTACTTGAAAATACATACTTGAACCAGGTTTTGTCCCAACGGCGGTGCACCACAGTACTCAGTCTGTGACAAGTGCTTTGCATTTCGGCGTTGTATATCAACCATTCGCTGTGCAGATTCCATGGTATCACCACAGCCGAATCGATCTTTCAGGGGTCTGTGAATATGTGGTCTTCTGGGATTTTTTGAGCGTGACTGCTTCGGAGGTGGTGTGGTTTTGTCCCTCGTAGCCGCCTCGCCATGGCAATCACCTCGGCCACGGCTGGGGCCACTACGGCAGTTCGGATTGTTTGCTCTGGAGGCCATGGTATGTAGGGGGGACACTTGATTTTCCGGCTCATAGAGGGAATTGTGTGTATTTACGTTTGAGAAGCTGCCGGTGGCTCTTGCCAGCTGGCCGTTGCAAACGGACGGGGCCCGTTGCAGACGGAAGGGGCCCGTTGCAGACGGAAGGGGCAGTGAATTGGCTTCGAAACCGCATTTCAACAACTTGATTTACCTGCGTTTCCTCACTATTCATCGCAACGACGCTGGAAACTGATACCCGACCATAAATTAACTTCATACTGCCACCGTGTTGTCCTAAAATTGTCCCATTGTCGCTCGTACCTGTATGCATATATCAGAGATATGCATCTAAGAGTAACTCGCCGGCGCGTCTTCGAGACGCGTAGAGTGGTTGCCGCCAAGTGATAGTTAATTCAACGCCCAGACATGTACAAACAAGCACCTCCAACACAAATTGCAAAGTAGCGCAACCTCCATGCAGAGTCAAGGTCACGGTATCGAGCATCGGGCTCAGCGCAAGCGATCGGTGCAAGAAGCTTCGCACGACGTTTCGAATGACGAACCTGGGACCGACGAGATTCCTTGGGAATGGATTTACGAAGACGACGCGGCCGCTCGAGACGATGACCAAGAGGGCGAACGCAAGCGACGCAAATTGGCTGGAAATCCGATCGTTGGGGCCCGTATTGGCACATTCGAGTGTCGGGTAGGTGACATCGTTCTTCTAAAAGCCGACGGCTCAAATGAAGCTTGGGTTGCCATCATCTGCGAATTCGTGCAAGACGATGGCGAAGGCGACAAGGCGGCCAACTTTATGTGGTTTTCAACGGAAAAAGAGATTCGAAGCAAGGATAAAAAGCGCAGCGACTTCTATTGGAACGAACTATATCTTTCACCGTCCTGGGACGTCAACTCCCTATCCTCTATCAATGGCAGAGCCAGGGTCATGTCGCTGGATAAGTTTCTCTCGCGACATCCCTCTGGCAAGATTCCGCGAAGCTCTCCCGAATATGGCAAAACATTTGTGTGTCGACGCGGCTGCAATACGAGAACAGCCACGTACACGAATGAATTTCTATGGGAGGATGTCTATTCCGGCGCCGATGATCTCTTCTCCCTCATGGATATGATTGAGAAGGATACCAAGGCAACCCGAAAGAAACGGCGAGTGAAGAGCCCAGAGGCTGTTGATGCAGTCTATTTTGCGCCTCAAACACCCACAAAACAGCGGACACCAGCAGCTGGGACGCCTCACTCGCGGGGCCGCACACCACGGGGAGCCGGCAAGAAGTTGGAGTTCACACCGCTGGCGATGCGTAAGCTGTCGCCGAGCAATGTTGATTCCTCGCCATTCCAGATTGCACGGTCACGCCTACATGTGTCTGCTGTCCCTGCCAGCTTACCATGTCGTGAAGGCGAGTTTTCTCTCGTATACTCCCATCTTGAAGCAGCCATCACAGAAGGCACAGGAAACTGTATTTATATCTCCGGCACGCCAGGTACTGGCAAAACAGCAACTGTGCGAGAAGTCGTTTCGCGATTGGAAGACGCCGTGGTCTCTGATGAACTAGACGATTTCATCTTCGTCGAGATTAATGGCATGAAGATTACTGATCCCCATCAGTCCTATACACTGCTGTGGGAGGCGCTGAAGGGGCAGCGCGCAAGTCCAACGCAGGCGCTGGATCTTCTAGAGCGCGAGTTCAACAATCCTAGTCCGCGACGTATCCCCTGTGTGGTTTTGATGGATGAGTTGGACCAGTTGGTCACAAAAAACCAAGCTGTAATGTACAACTTTTTCAACTGGCCAACTTTGCGACACAGTCGCCTTATTGTTCTGGCTGTTGCCAACACCATGGACTTGCCTGAGAGGACATTGAGTAACAAGATCAGCAGTCGTCTCGGTATGTATCTAGCTACAAGCACATGCGGCCGTTACTAACGTGTGCTCCAGGCCTGACCCGAATCACATTCCCTGGCTATACTCACGACCAGCTCATGAAGATTATACAGTCGCGGTTAGAGGGTGTCCCAGGAAACATTGTGGATGCCGATGCGGTTCAATTCGCCAGTCGTAAGGTTGCTGCTGTCAGTGGCGATGCCAGACGAGCCTTAGACATTTGTCGAAGAGCAGTCGAGCTAGCAGAGGCCGACGCGCCACCCGATCCGTCCACGCCAAGCAAAAAAGCGCCGGGTGGTGATACAGCGGAACTCTCACGCCGCGGTCGTGTTACCATTACCACGATCAAAAAGGCTATCAACGAGGCCACCTCCAACCCCATCCAGCTGCATCTACGTGGCCTACCGCTGACGAGCAAGCTCCTCATAGCGGCAGTGCTCTTACGGATCAGAAGAACCGGCCTTGTGGAGACAACATTCGGTGAAACTCTTGACGAACTACAGCGTGTATCGGCATATGCACCACGAGCCCCCGCTGGCATGGCCCAGATCCTTGGCAGTCACGCCAAGGGCACTGGACAGGGCGGCGCGCATCAGCGTCACACAGGACGACCCGGCTACGTCCACACAGCTGCGCTCGATCTTGTTGCTGCAGGTCTCATCAATCTGGAAGCCCAACGGGCGGAGAGGAGCAGCAAGCTACGACTAGCGATTGCCGACGACGAAGTGAAAATGGCGCTTCGTGAGGATCCGGAGCTCCGTGCACTCGGGATCGGTATATAAATTGTATAACAAATGGAGAACAAATAGACTAGAAAAATAAACGGTTGCGGCATGTGGTATCATTATTACTGTTGGTCGACTAGGTATGCTAGTCTAAAACTTGCGCCGTCCGAGTGATGGTGTCCACTGAAGAGGATGTGTTTCTTCGGAGGCATTTTCGTCTTGTTTCCATATTTTTACTGATCAAATGTTAGTTAATTCAGGCATTGGTGTCTCGAAAGGCTGCTTACTAGTCTTGTCAGCTTCACCACAGATGAGACGCAAGCCAGAGCGATCAAATGTTGAGCTCATGAGGCCAGCTTCTGCATCCAGGGAACCAGGTTGTGCTGTGGTATCGAGAGCTTGAAATCTGTGTCCAGTCTTCCAGTCCCAGAAGCTCATGGACCCGTTATCGGCTAAAGCATAGAAGTTAGGAAGTTGAATAAGCTAATTGCATGAACGAAACATACCGCCAGAGAACAAGACGTTGTTTTGGTTGACACTCAAGGTGTTGATGATGGCATTATGGCCTTCGAAATTTTGCATAAACGCACCCTCAGGGCATTTCCACTGCTTGATGCTTCCCGTGCTTCCACTGGCAAAGGTAAACTCCTCCGGGTGCACCGCGAGGGCGCGGACACCCTTTTTGTGATGTGTAAGAACGCCCATGGCCTTGCCGGCCGCTAGATCCCACAGGCGAACAGTCGAGTCGAGGGAGGCGCTGATGACTTGCGGATCTGCCTCCTGGCATTGGACATTGGTCACGGTGCCCGTGTGGCCGGACAAGACGTGGATGTTGCTCCGGGTGCGCATGTCCCACACGCGCGCGACGCCGTCGCGACCGCCCGTGACGAGCACGTCGAGCGTGGGATGCAGCGACAGGGTGTAGACACCGCTCAAGTGGCCGTGGTAGTGGCGGATGACCTTGTTCGTCTCCAGATCCCAGCACTTGACCATCTTGTCCTCGCCGCAGGAGAAGAGGTACGGGTGGCGGGGCGATACGGCCAGGCCGCGCACGGTGCTGATGTGGCCGGTGAGGGTGAGCTTGAGCCCGCCGGTCGCCATGTCCCAGATCTTGATGGTGCGGTCGCCGGCGCCGCTGGCAAACCACTTGTTGCCGGGCTCGACGGCCAGTGCGCGCACCCAGCCCAGGTGGCCGGAGATGACGCGCATCAGCTTCCACGGCGGGTGCCATTCGGGCTTGACTTGTTGTATCGTGAGGGCGCTCGGACCGCCGGCGGTTCGTGTCGCCAGGCTTGTATTCTGCTGCTGTGGTGGTGTGTTTCCACTGGCGGCGGCCCCGGGACCTTGGAGGAGCTTCTGAGGCTGGCCACCGCCCGCTCGCGGCGCGAGGACTAGGGATTTGGACGCGGCGCCCTTTTTCTGTGGCTGTTTCGCGGCGAGGGAGGGCGGCAGCGTGTCGGAGCCGGCGTACTCGGTGTGGAAGCGGCGTTTCAGTACGGTGTCGTCGAAATCGTCGGCCAGCTTCTGGCGCTTCCCGGGAAGGTCTGGCGATGCGGCGGCAGCGGCGCGCGCGTAGAGTTGCCGGGCGGCGGTGGAGTTTTGCGCAACCATGGCGCTGAGCTGCAGGGCATCCTGCGGGATTTGGGGCGTCTCCATTGTCGATGCGGCCGATGAGGACCAATTGGCTGCGACTGAGGATGTACGTTGGCGGGATGCTGAAGATCAAGAGCTGGAGAACGACGGGAAAAAACCAAAGGTGCAGGTTTGACGCGCCATACAATTTCAGTGGGTCGCTCAGGCACCGCCCAAGTAATTCATTCAAAACTTTTTCCAATTCAGCATGATTATCAGCGAGAGTAGAACATTTTGGTGTTGCAGTCAGATATAATATATTTCTCCATTTCCGTCCCATTCGAAAAAATATGCGGGTTGCTGTGCGTCAGATGTATCATTGCCACAAGTGCCTGGTCCTGGCTTGGCCTGGTCCTGTCAGGATCATGGGAGCGAAACTCAGTAAACGCACCAAAATCTTTTGCAGCCTGGATACTCAGCTCTTTCAATCTGAATGTAGTGTTTCAAGAGAGCATGATTTTCCGTAGTTTCTTCATACAGATACCCAGGGTACTCGCTACAGCCCGCGACAGCTCAGAGCCCCAGCTTGGCCATCAGAAGGAGGTTGCTTTGTTGTGTTGCACAATGGCGCAGTTTGATTCCATATCTCTCTGCTTATAGTCTTCTAATTCAGCTCCCTTTTTGACAGGTCGGATGTCCCTCAACGCCATAATGAGGCAAAAATTCTTCTACATGAACGGCGAGGAGATGGCATCTTCCTTCGGTCCTTGCAATACAGAGTCGTGCGTTTCGCCAAGCTGTGAATTGTACAAGATTTAGCCCCATCTCTACTCTAATACAGGTTCCATAGGGCTCAAGGAGACAAGGAGACAAAGAGACAAGTTTATTAAAGGTAGTTTGTATCAAATGGATGCGCGGACCAGAAGGAAAAGACAGAGCGGGCAGCAATCGAGGTCAGTCTTCGTGCTTACTTTTGTCAATCTTTCGGCACTGGAACTCCCCGCAATCTATCGAGAGCCAGGCCGTTTTCATTCAACTTCCCGGGATTGTAAGGTGGGCGGACAACCCCGTTGTGCTAGTCCAACGTTGATGACCTCAAAGAGGCTGGTCGAGGAGCTGCCCAACAGGCCGAATGTGCTAAAATAGTTCCAGTTTGATTCGTACTCAATCGGATAAGGTGACAGCAAGTCATTTAACGTCGTTTCCATAGTTACGTCCACAAGTCATCATATTATGTAAAACTGTCGCTAGATCTCGTCTAGTCATTTTAGTCGTTTAGAAAGTGACCAATCTTTATGAATATTGAATGAGGTGACAGAAACAATGTCAAAAAACTCCCCCAGGCTTATTCAATGATACGTCCCTCGACTCAAAATGCAACTCAAGCACCTTTTCGTTTCACAGTTGGCCACTGCAGCTTGTAGAGCGGCGGTCGTTGAACCTCATCCGCCTTGCGGCAACCCGGCCCCAAGCCGGGAGTATCTTCAAATTCTTGCCAAAGCTAAGGTTGCGGAAGTGTCAGTCCATGACTCTACCAATGTCAAGCGAGTGGCCATGACTGTGAACACCTATCTTCACATCATCGCAGCAGACAACACGCGCGCCGGCGGCGCCATCGGTGTATGTACATTGCTGTTGGCCAGAAGGAACGAGAACCGGTGAAACAGTATGGCTGACTGGCAATTATAGCAGCATGTCATTGACAACCAGATGAACGTTTTGAACAGCAATTTCGGCTCAACAGGCTACCAGTTTAGCTTGGAAGGTGTCGATTACACCTACGACACTCTGTGGTCCGACATTGTCTTGAACCGGGACTTGACCAATCTCAAGTCCTCTCTCCGCAAGGGCAGCTACTCGGACCTCAACATTTACTACTTCCGAAGCATCAGTGCAAAAAAAGGATTCCGCTTAACAGGGTACTGCAGCAACCCCGGCAACGGCAGCGATAACAAGACTTTCTACAACGACGGCTGCAACCTGCACGTCGAGACCATGCCCGGCGGATCGTACTGGCCCTGGAACGAAGGAAAGATCACATCCCACGAGGTTGGACATTGGTTTGGCCTGATTCACCCCTGGGGCGTCAACGACGCCGGCGGCTGCTCCGGCGTTGGCGACCTCGTCGACGACACGCCGGCGCAGTACTCGGCCAACTACGGCTGCCAAGTCGGCTACGACAGCTGCCCGCTTTTGCCTGGCACCGACCCCATTCACAACTTTATGGGCTACAGCGACAAGTACGTTTTATTTTCAACTTGCTTCGCCGCCAGTCACTAACACTGCGTTAGCTCTTGCGTCAACGAATTCACACAGGGTCAGATTACCCGCATGAACTACATGTTTAACAAGTACCGTGGTTAGAATGCCAACCCATACAGAGGTGTCTGCCAGTAATATAAGAAAAGGATGTGCAAAAGAGAACGGCATGGTTAGCGAGGGGGGGGTGGATTTAGGGACGCATTGGGGTTGGTTAGACGGTCAGATAGAGAATTAGGAAAACAAAAGGAAGAGCAGAAGGCATGCAGGATGGAATGACAGAAAAGAGTAGACATTGTATTGGCGTAGGCGTGGAAAATGGAAAAACTGTTATTCTTTACGTTAGAAAGAAAATAGGGGTCCATTGTGCTACGCTTCCAGGTACCAATAACGTGTTTTATGGAGGTGATTTATTTGATTTATACAAACTAAACACCAACACTATCGTACATCGGCTCTTGCGGCTTTGTAAGTGCAGGCCAACGCGTTCTTGTTGCCTGGTGGGGCAACTTCACTTGACTTCGGCGCCACCCCAAGCATCCCATCATCAAGCTTCCTTCTTCTTGCGTATCTCGCCGCCGCTTTCGGAGCATTCAAACAAAGCAACATCTGGAGCTGCAGAAATGGCCGACGAAAACGATAAATTCCCTCTACATACGGCGGCGCGCGACCGGAGAGGTGTGATGACTGGTTGTCGACTCGTATTGGCGGCCCTATGCTAACTCTCGATAGTTGCCGTCGCGGATGGCCTGCTCAAGGTACAGTCTCTACAGCACGGCCAAGGAAAGCGCGAATCTAACTCTGGTGTTGAAAGACGGACCCCAAATTATCACAAAAAAAGGACGACGATGGCCGCTATGCAATTCACTGGGCGGCTTCGTCCAATTGCTTAGATATTGTCGTCATGCTGGCCAATCAGTCGTCCTTTGATCCAGATGTGCAGGTACATCCATCCAAACTGGCCGCGCTTTGGCATCAATTTTTTCTCCTTTTTTTGTGGCTGCTCACACGGCATGGTTATAGGATGAGAGCGGCTGGACGCCACTCATGATTGCCGTCAGCGTCCCCGAAAGCGAGGACGTCATCAAGGTGCTCCTCAAAGCCGGCGCCGACATCAACGAGAAGAGTGCGCCTGCCCCATCTTCCACCCCTACGTTGCGGTGCGCCCCTGACTAACACAACCTACCCTTTTGCAAAGACAACGGCGGCCAGACGGCCCTGCACTTTGTCGCGTCCAAGAAGAACATTGAGACAGCCAAGCTGCTGCTCGAGCACAAGGCCTCGACGCGCGTCAAGGACCGCCGCGGACTGTACCCGCTGCACCGCGCGGCTGCGGCCGGCTCCGCGCCCCTCTGCCTGCTGCTGCTCAGGAAGCTCAGCCCGACGAACCCGCAGGACTTCGAGGGATACACGCCGCTGCATCACGCCGTCGCCGAGGGCCACGGAGACACGGCCGTGGCGCTGCTGAAGGAGGGCGCGGACGCGACGATTGAGAATGCCGACGGTGTGCGGGCGCTCGATCTCGCGCCGGACAAGGATGTTCGCACATATATCCTACGCGGGGCAGAGCGCGAGGGCGTCGAGCTGGAGGGACAGTGAGAGAGAGGGATAGAATTATGATGATGATAATAAAGTGAGGTTGAAAACACACGCCTAAATATACATGCATCTAAAGAAAGTAGAAAAAAAAAATCTTCATCCATACATCGGCCCATGGTGCCTTTTATTTCATCGTCTGCTCGATCAGCTCGCGGTACATGGCCTTGACGTCCTGCACATCTGAACGCAGCTCCTCCACCAGCTCGCTCTTCTCGCCCAGCATCTCCAGCGTCGTCTGGTAGCGCGCGTCGAGCGCGTCCACCTGCGCCTCGAGATCCGGCACGCGCGCCGACGCCGTCTTGGCGTCCTCAAGCGCCTTCATCAGGCCGACCATGTCGGCGCGCGCCTCGTCGCGCTGGCCGCACACGCGCGCCATCTCCTCCTTTGCGGCCACCTTTTCGGCCTCAAGCCGCCGGACGGCCGCGCTCATGCGCTCAACGAGCTGGACCGAAGGCCCCGCAGCAACGGTGGACATGGACATCACGTCCCCGGCAAGGGCCGGCGGCTGGCGCGGGGAGGACGGGAGGGCGTCGTCAACGGCGGGAGGTGAGGCCGCGTGGTGGCTGCTGAGCTCGCTGCTGGGCTGCGGAAAGGGTGAAAAGGGGGCCGGGCTCGCCGAGGTGATGCGGAACGGGGGCTGCGCCGACGGTCGGCGGGAGTGCGGGCGGGCATCCGTGTCGGGAATGCTGCCAGATAGCGGCGTCGTGCGCTGGCGGTAGGGAAGGGGCAAGCCGCCGAGACTGGCGAGGTCGGTGCTAAACGTGCGTGTAATGTGGCCGGGTACGGGCGACTCGGGCCGGCTGTCCATCTTGTCCACGCGGACGGCAGCTTCTGTCCACTCGGTTTGCTGCGCGGCCAAATCGCGGCTCTTGGTGCGCTGCTCCCGCTCGAGATCAGAGCGGGCTTGGTCCAGGGCCTCTTCGGTAGCCTTGGACGACGTCTTGAGTGCGGCAAGTTCATCGCGGACCGCGTCGAGCTGCGCTCGCGCCTTAATCAGGGCAGGCTGTACATCGTGTAGCTCCTCGTCGAGTGTCTTCGCGCGCGTGGTCGAGTCGCGCGCCTTTTTTCGCATGTCCGATTCCCGTCTCTGTGCCTCGTCCCGATCTTTTTCCAAGTTGGATAGCTTGGCCAGCAGCGATGACTCCATCGACTGCCAGTTGCTGCTCGCGGATGCATATTGCGACTGCAACGTCTCAATTTGGCGGAGCAGCTTGACCTGCGCCTCGCCGCCGGAGCCGGATGTTGCTTCTTCGGCCTGTGTCCGCATGAGTTCGAGCTTGGTCTCCATAGCCTTAACCTCGATTCGGAGCTCATTCTCCATGTTCCGGCCACGCTTAACTGCGCGGTCCAGCTTTTCGCTCCACTCGATATTGTCTTGCCTGGCCTTTTCTTCCAGGGCTTCTTTTTCGGCATGCAATGCTGTGTGGCTTGCTTCCTGTGTCTTGAGTTTCTCCCGCTCGGCACTGAGGGTTCTCTCAAAGATCGCAGTCTTACTAGCCTCTTCCGCCTTGGTCTTGAGATCGCGCTCGAGGTTGCGAACTGTACCGTCTCTTGTCGTCTTTTCTTTCTTTAAGCTATCGATTTCTTTTTGCATGACAGCGGTCGCCTTGCGCATTTCGTCCTGGAGTTTGTCTTGTTCCTCGCTGCTCTTGAGCCGCGCGCGCAAAGCATCGGCGTCGGCGATAGCTTTATCCTTGGTCTTTCTAAGCTCGTCATTCTGTTTTTCCGAGTCGGCGAGTTGCTGTCGCAGCTTCTTTATGATGGTTCTGTATTTTTGTTCTCCAGCCGCAAGCTTCTGGCCCTCTTCCATGAGTAGGGCAATCTTTTCGTCCTTTCCGGCAAGCTTGCTTTCCATACTACCAGAAGGAGCGGCATTTGCGGCCTTTTGAGAAGATTCAGCTGCGGACTTGGCTAGATATTGAAGTTTCGACTCCAGCGAGTCAATTCGCTCGACGTATTCTTCAACCTCGTGCTGGTGGTTCGCTATTAAATGCTCAACATCCTTGACATTGATAGTAACCCCTACTTCAGTTGCATCTGGAGCTGCAGAACCGTTTTCGCCGAAAGGCTCGGTTAGAATCTGAATCTCTGTCTCTGCCGGTAGTTTTGCTGTAATTCCGGCTTCCTCGATTTTAGCATTATTATGCGAATTATCCTCAGAGGTTGTCTCGAGTGTGGGTTCAACACTCTCCACAGTGATCTCGTCCGTTGATATCAGTGTTGTAGCCTCATCATCCGCTTCGGTGGCGGGGGGGTCCGAGGCTAGCGAATCTTCTTTCACTGCAACCTTTGGATCGGTAGACTTTCGATCCATAGACGGCCGACTTGCATTGTCGACGGAGCTGCGCGGAGAACTCCCAACCTGCGTTGTCTTGGCGGCCATGGCCTTTGCTAGCCTAGCCTGTAGCCTGTCGTTGGTTCGATTACTCGATGACGAACGTGAGGTATCTACAAATTTGGTCAATTAGTAAGGGTCCTGACTCAGTGCTAGCATGCGCTTTCCCACAGCGAGAGTGTGGCTTACTCGGTGTCGCCTTGGTCGCCGCCGGCACAGCGCTGGCCGGTGTTGGCGCCTGCATCTGCGGTTGCGGCTTGGGCTGCTGCTGTGTCGCTGGTGCCGCGCTACCGCCATCCTCCTCGGAGAGAATGTTGTCGAGGCGCGACTCGACGCCCGCAACAGCCTGCGACAGGAACGAGCCCCATCTCGATGAAGACTTGCTTGGCGCGGCCATGGCGGGTGTGCGACTTTGGGAGTGTGATATCTTCTTTCTATAATCGGCTCGCCTGTTCGTCTATCGACTTCGTTCTCGCTTGCTTCGTCTTCGCGGTGAGTGGAATCGTCGTCGCCGTTGTGGCTGCGTAAGCCATCACCCCCTCAGCAGACGCAAGCCCCCTGCTTCCCGTTGTCTCTAGCTGTCGCTTCTTTAGCGCAAGAGTGTGAGGCAAGTCTTAAACTGCCAGAGCCGCAAATCCGAGTAAAAGTATAGAGCGAGAGATAGATTGTCAAGGTTTCGTGCGCTCGTGTTGCAAGTGTCAAAAGCTAGTGTGGGTTTGTGCGGGATGACGCGCGCCTTGAAGCTGAGCTGGCCGCAACTGGTGTGGATATTTGAGCCGCAAAACCGTTGACAGCCTTATTACCCGCTGTATTAATGTGGAGGGCATTTCCGCGTTTTACAGGTTTTACATTCTCACAGGCGCCTAATCTTTTAGGATTATACTTTCCATACAATGCATCTTGCTTCACAGAAATTCGCCGAAATTCGTCTCCACTTCACGGACTCTCACTCAAGCTGGACACGAGTCCACGACTCTAGTCAACGTGGTAACATAATGACCATAGTAGAGGAGTCATACTCTTAGTTTTACTAAAAGTCCTATTCGAATAGAGTTGTATCCAAAGCAGATATCCAGAAACATTTCCATCTCAGAGGGGGTATATATCACCGCTATCGTCCTTTCCCCACGAATCTAGCTCGTATAGCAGCAACCAGTCACAATACAATTTATAGTATCAAACAATAAAAGCACACTCAAACAACATCCAACAGTTATCCGGTAATCTTCCTCCACCAGCTCGTCCGCACAGGGGGCTCAATAAACGCCGAGTTTCGACGACTTGTCTGGCGGTCTTCGCTTGCATCCGAAGGTGTCACACGGCGCTCGCGATGGCGCTCCTCCTTTCTGCGCCGGCGTCTCTCATCATCGGCTTCGTCAGCGGTAGCTTCGCCGGCGGGCCGAGCGCGACGGCGTGCGCGTCGATCACGTCGGGCCTGGTCATCGTCTGCATCACCACCGTCCGGCGGTGGAGGCGCGTCAGAGTGTTCCTTTACCCAAGACGACGTGCCTGAATGGGGCCAAGTTGCGCCGTTCTTATCCTTGTCGCGTCGACGCTCCTTGTGCGGATAGACCTGCTCATCTTCATTGGGACGGCGGCTGCTCTTACGCTTCCCGCCGTCCTCGGCAGGTTCGCGACCGTCGCGAGCTTCACGGCGAGCTTGATGGCGGCGACGGCGCTCTCCTTCATCCTCCCCATCAACCGGACGCGACTTGCGACGTTTGGTATCACGTTCAGTGTCTTGGTTCTCCTTATCGGCTGCGACTGCTGCAGCTTCCTTCTCCTTGCGCTGACGACGGCGTTCTGCTCGGCGGGCTTCACGATCATCAATATCACGGCGGTCTTCCTCCTCACGCTTGCGGGAACGACGCTCGGCACGGTGTGTCTCCTTGTCATCCGGTTTGGCCTCTTCGTCACGCCGGCGCATTTTATCGCGGCGCGCTCCATCTTTCGACTCGTCACTAGCAGTATCCCGCTTACTCCTGCGCCGAGTATCTCGGTCAGTCTCCATGGGTTCGCCGTCGTCCGGAACTTCGGCTTTGCCCTTTGACATGAGACCACTAAAGAGTCCAGAGAGGCCGGACTTTTTCGCAATAGAAGCACTCCGCTTGGGGATCGTCTCCGAGGGGCCGCCGGCATCTACCATGACAATGTCCTCGTCCGGGAGTCTTCTACTCCGGCGGCGATCTGCCCTCGCTGAATCAGGATCCAGAGCGCCACTCATGACAACATCGGGATCAGCACGGCTCGACCGTTTCTTGTTAGAAGTCTTCCCAATGCCGAGGATTTTAGCCGCCTTGTCAGGCGTCTCCTCAGGCGGTGGCGAGGCAAGGCCATGCGCACCTACGGAATGGCGGCGCGAGGAGTGGCTTCCGCCAGTCTTCCTGTCGCGTGTAGACATCGAGCGTGAGATGGGTGGCGTGCTGACGGGGGCGAAGCCGCGCGATCTGGAAGGCGTTTTGGAGGGCTTTTCGTCACCCTTGTCTGATCCAGAGCCCTTTGAGGGAGACTTTTCGCCAGATCGCTTCGAGGATTTTTCGGTCCTTGACTTGGATGATCGGCGTTCTTCTTTGCGCTCGTCTCTCGTGCGTTCTTCCTTCCGCTCTTCTTTACGAGAGCTCGAGGTGCCCCATGCGCCCCAAGACGATGAGCCGTCGCGATTGATCTTGGGGCGGTCTTTCCTGGACGATTTGTCGGGCGGCGGTGTTAGCGGCGCGTCAGGAACAGGCGGCGGCGGCGCAGGCGGGGGTGCGTCGTCATAAGGTCTGGATTTGCTCTTCCTGCTCTTCTTCTTGTCTTTGGGGCTCATGTCAGCAGTAACAAAATCCAGATCCTCATCGTCGATAGGGAAGCTTCCAGGGAGGCCGGCTTCTTTGCGACTCCTCCTAGAGAAAGAGGTGGGAGGTTCGACTACCTCGACTGTCTTGGACTTCTTCTTCTTGTCTGTCCTATCCTCATCCCTTGGTGGAGACGGTGGAGGTGGTGGTACAATGATTGCTTCTTCCTCCTTGGCAGCCTCAAAAGACTTCAGCTTATCGGCAATTTTGCCCCCGACAGGCTTGCGCTTCATCAACGGGTCATTTGCCTTGGAAAGGGGTGTCACATCGGTGTACTCAATAGCATCTTCCAGAACTATGGATGAGTCAGCTGCTGTAATTTCGTCGTCGCAGGGGTCGCCTGTTGGGGTAATCTGGGGTAGACAGGGGCGTTGCAGAGCATCAACCAACCTTTTTTGGACTTTTTCGACGCACCCCAAAAGTCAAAAGCGTCAGTCGTTGACTTATCCTTAGGCGACGAGAGCAGCTCCTCAATTTCATCAGGCTTGAGCTCTTCAGAAAATCGTGGAGTTTCAGAATCAGCGCTCTTAGACTTTTTCTTCTTCTCCTTTTCCTTCCTTTTCTCCTCTTTCTCTCTCTCTCTTTCCTCCCTGTCTTTCCTCTCGGCCTCTTCGCGCTCTTTCTCTTTCTCCCTTTCCCTCTCCTTTTCCCTTTTTCTTTCCTCTTTTTCCCTCTTTCGATCCTCCTTCTCCTTCTTTTCCTTTTCTTCTCTTTCTCTTTCTCTCTCCATCTCCTTCTCCCTCTCCTCTTCCTCTTTGCGTTCCTTCTCTCTTTTCTTCTCTTCCTTTTCCCTCTTCTTCTCCTCTTTCTCCTTCTCCTCTTTCTCTCTCTCCTCTTCCTCTTTGCGTTCCTTCTCTTTTTTCTTCTCTTCCTTCTCCCTCTTCTTCTCCTCTTTCTCTCGCTTCTCTGCCTCTTCTCTCTCTCGCTCTCGTTCCTTTTCCTTTTCCTTTTCTTTTTCCTTTTCTCTCTCCTTCTCCTTCTCCTTGGCTCTGGAGCTCTTCTTTGTTTTCTTGGCAGCTTCTTCCTCGGCCTCGCGCGCCGCTTGCTCTTTAGCTTCCCGGGCAGCCTGCTCTTCAGCCTCCTTGGCAGCTAATTCTTCGGCTTCATTCGCAGCTTGCTCTTCTGCTTCTTTCGCAGCTTGCTCTTCGGCCTCTGTTGCAGCCAGATCTTCCGCATCCTTGGCTGTCTGCTCTGCGGCGCGCTTCGCAGCCTTTTCTGTAAGAAGGTTGAACTTATCATTGTCCTTCTTCGGAAGTTTGCCCTTCTTGGCCTTCTTCGCGGTCAAAGCTCGCAGCTCTTCTTCTTCCGCGAGAATCAGTGCCTTCTCTTCCTCTTCTAGTCGTATCTTTTCCTTCGCTTCCTTAGTAGCGGCTTCCTCAGCTTCCTTAGTAGCGGCTTCCTCAGCTTCGCGGGCGGCTTGTTCTTCGGCTTCCTTGGCGGCTTCTTCGGCTTCCTTGGCGGCTTCTTCGGCATCGCGGGCTTCCTGGTCAGCCTTTTCCTTGTCGGCCTTTCTCTTTTCCTTTTCGAGCTTCTTGAGTTCCTTTGCGCTTAGCTTGGGCTCCTTTTCCTTGTCCTCTTTATCCTTGGTATTCGATTTCGAGTCGGTTTCTGCTTGTTCATTCTCATGTTCAGTAAATTGCATCTTAGGCGGGGCTTGCACAGGAGGAGGCGGATCAGTCATGGGCTCTTTGATTTTGATTTTCCCTTCTTGGACGTCGATGTCCAGGCCGAGGTCTCATCGTCAATGATCCCAGTAACCGTAGTCGCTTCCTGCACAATTTCGGGTTGATCTGTCTCACCAGTAGTTTCAAGTAGTTCGTTTGACTTATCCTTCTTCTTCTTATCCTTCTTGGGAGCGATGCCCCAAGCGTCGTCTCCGGCTTCGTCGGCGGGTGGCTCCTTGGTTGTTTCGTCAACGGAGCCCTTCTTGTCTTTCTTGCCAGTACCGAAAGAACTGAGGAAGTCGTCGTTGTCCTTTGCATCGTCCTTGGCATCAGATTTGTTGTCTTGGTCGCCGAGATCAATCAACTCGCCCTTCTTTTTCTTACTGTCCTTCTTGCCAAGCGCAGGCCCCCCCCAACTACCCCAAGAGTCACCCACGTTTGTTTCCTCAATCTTGAGCTCTTCTTTCGATAGATCTTCGGTCGCTGAGCCTTTTTTCTTCTTCCTCTCATTTTTTGAAGTACTCAAGCTACCCCAAAAATCGTCGACTTTCTTTTCTTCGACTGGTTCAGCATCTGGTTCGGGCATGGGCTCTGGCTCCTTCTTCTTCTTCTTCTTCTTGTCCTTCTTAGAAGTGCTCGCGGCGGTCCAGATGTCCTCCTCATCTTGTTTCTCAGGTTCTGGGTCGAGATCCTTCTTGTCGCTGCCGCCAAGGCTACCCCAAAACGCATCGTCATCGCCTGCCTTGTCCGTTCCTTCCACCGCAGGGGGGGGGCCTGGCTCAGGATCGTTAAACAGAGCAGCTTTCTTCTTGTTCTTTTTACTGCCCTTTTCTTTTTTATCGAAGCCCCAAGGATCTTCCTCCTTCTTTTCTGGTTCGGGCTCGAACACGGGCTCA